CTTACAAATATTTTTTTTACAGTTAACTTATAATATTTTAATGTAATAACAAAAATACACAAACGAAACAGTAGTTGCAATTTACCAAATATTTAACAAAAATTCAAAAATTTCAAAAAATTATTGTCAAAGTGTAATCTTAATTGTATTTACAAAGAATGCTAAAGAGTTGTTGTTGTTGATGTGTTTAATGATAGATTTTATTTAATAAGTCTTATTTAATTATTAACAGAGGATAACGAAAATTTAAGTTTAGAACCATAAGTTTCTCCTTTCCTTAACACAACCTGCTTGGACCATTCCTTATTGTTTACAGCATCAATGAACCTACTTGCCTCGACGCAAAATCCGCTTCTACTTTTGTACTCATTAATATCTGTATAATCACCTGTGTACAATTGGAAAGCTGGATCTGTAGTAGCAACTGTAAGCTTGGTATTAGAGGATGGATGTGTAGCTTCTACGATATCAATCAATTCATTTGATCTTGTATCGAGCGAGGAGCCATTTTCATTAACAATGAAACAATTATCAAATGAAACATCTGGAGTTAATTCAACAGTCTTTGTTAAATCACGAGGAGATTCAATAATTTCCCCGGTAGGTAATAACGTTTTCGGATCAACTTTCAAGAATTTATTGGTAATTGACCTAATAAGGGTACCATTAATGTCCTTATTTGGTGAAATATTCCAGTATGAATGGTTTGTTAAATTCACAGCAGTAACAGAGCTTTTCGAACCTTCAGTAAGTGAAGAAACATATTCTATTTCCAATGAATCTTCCTTTATGGTATACTTCACTGTTGTATCCAAATCGCCTGGAAATCCATCATTACCATCAGAATCAACCAAAATAAATTCTAAGGTTGTATGGTCCTCATGGTACTTTGCAATTGGTCCCAAAAAGTATTGTTTATCAAAACCATTAGCACCTCCATGCAAAGTATTAGAATCATTTTCATTCTTAGTTAACTTATATGTCGTGTTATCTACTTGAAATTCTCCATTAGCAATTCTGTTGGCATAACGTCCGACAGTAGTCCCAAAAAATGGATTATTATTAGACTTGTAGTCATTAAATGACTTGAAACCAGTTACTAAAGATTCATTGTTGTACTCAATGTCTTGGATCAATGCACCATAGTTGGCAATAGAAACTTTAAAGTTTTCAAAAGATACAGTATGTAACCTATTTCTGAAGTCTTCAACATCTGTGTCATTGAAAAGATTCCATTTGTAGTTTTTTATTTGAAAACCAAAAGGGTTCTCTGTGGTCCACTTCCATAAATCTTTGCATGCGTCTTCGATTGTAAAATGTGTTTTCCATTTTAATTCATTGTTGGCTCTAGTTGCATTAGCAGTTAAATCAAGAACATCACCATCTCTTCTACCAACTACTTCATAAGGTAATTCTCTTCCTACAGCCTTACAAAAGGCGTGGTAAACATCAAAAACCGTAGATCCCTTCCCAGTACCTAAATTCCATTCTCTGAATAATCCTTCCTTAGAGCTCAATTCATTTAAATAATTCAAAGCAGCAATATGTCCTTTGGCCAAATCAACAACATGAATATAATCTCTGATAGGTGTTCCGTCATGACTATTATAGTCGCTGCCAAATATGGATAATTTTTCCCTTCTACCAATTGCAACTTGAGCTAAATAAGGAAGCAAATTATTTGGAATACCCAATGGATCTTCGCCAATTAAACCTGAAGGATGAGCACCAATTGGGTTAAAATATCTTAAAATAGCCGCTCTCCAGAATTTATCACTTGTGTATATATCTTTTATGATGTTTTCAATCATATATTTTGTCTTACCGTATGGGTTTGTTGGATCATTTGGACAATGCTCAGGAATAGGGATCATGTTTTCGAATCTTGTAGCATCCCCATAGACCGTCGCAGAAGAGCTAAAAACAATAGTTTTAACGTCATTTTCTTTCATCACCTTCAATAAGTTAATAGTCCCGTTAATATTATTATCGTAATATTCCAATGGGATCTTAGTAGATTCACCCACTGCTTTCAATGCTGCAAAGTGAATTACTCCTTTAATCCTGTAATTTTTAAATACATTGGTCAACTTTTCATGGTCTCTAAGATCAATATCAAAGAACTTAATCGGTCTTTTAACCATATACTCTATTCTTGCAACTGAATCATAGCTTGAGTTGCATAAATTATCAATTATAATAACTTCATATCCGTTTTCAATTAATTCAATAACGGTATGCGATCCAATATAACCAGCACCTCCAGTGACAATAATATATTCTTTAGACATTTTGTGTTTTGCTTGCAAGTATAGTTAGATAGCAGTTTATTCAATCCCATAATAACTAGGGGCCAACTACTACTTTTTATATCATCCTTTAGTTCATTAAAATAAATGTAACGTTACATGGTTATGAATAATATCATAATACTTATTACATCCTTCGGGATAACTATTTCATATCGTCTCGAATATTTTTGAACTTGCAGATACTTGGTGTTCGCGAACAATTTTACTATGAGCCCATACTATTCCGTAATCAGATTGAGGAAAATATCAGTATTGGCAAACGTACTTAAGAGAATAAGAAGCATTATCAACTATTTCATAGTCAAGTATTATGTATAGTCATAAAAGAATTCAAGTAATGAATATAAAATTATATTTTTGTAGCGGTTTATAACCCGGAGATTTCTCCAAACTTCTCCATTGCTCCGGATTTTTTATAAATTTCTTACATATCCCAAAAGAGTAATTATGCGCCGACATAAAACCACCCAATTCGAAGCGACGTCATACTATTCGGGTGGATGTACCAGCCAGATTTCGGCAGGTAGATCCACCATGCTAGTGTAACGTTACATTGCAAATCTAAATTATTTCCTTAAAATAAATATGGAGTAATTTACAGAAATATATTTAACCATGATATTTTGTATTTTATTCATAAACTATTAGTTGTTAACTTTAGGATACGCAAATAAAGTTGTAGAAATGACCGACACTGTTCCAACATTCAAAGACTTATCATTTTATTCAGATCCTGAATCAAACAATTCAAGATATGTAAAACTAATTGAAAAATTCCAGAACACTTTCGGGAATAAGCCAGAATTTATCAGTCGTTCTCCTGGAAGGGTCAACTTGATTGGAGACCATATTGATTACAATCATTTTTCTGTATTGCCAATGGCTATCGATGTTGATGTGATTGCTGCAGTTGCTACTAGTGATGATCATAAGATAGTATTAACCAATACTGATGAGTCGTTTACAAAAGAAGAATTCGAGTTAGCTTCGAATGGGGATGTTATCGAAATAGATAAGACCCACCATACTTGGGGAAATTACTTCAAATGTGGATTGATTGTTGCCCATAAGTACATTAAAGACAATTTTCCTGAAACTGTGGACAACGGTCTTAAACCGTTGAGAGGGATGAGATTAACATTTAACGGTACCGTTCCTGCTGGAGGAGGATTATCATCATCAGCAGCATTCTGTGTTGCCTCTACTTTAGCTATATTGAGAGCTAATGGGGTAACCTCAGTTTCAAAGGCTGATTTAACCAAGATTACCGTTGTGTCTGAACATTATGTTGGGGTTAATACAGGCGGTATGGATCAATGTGCATCTATATATGGTGAACAGAATAAAGCATTATTAATTCAATTCAAACCAAAATTAATTGGTATTCCCTTTGAAATCCCTGTAATTAAGCCTAATGATATGGTATTTTTGATTTCCAACAGTTTGCTCAAAGCAAATAAGCACGAAACTGCTCCTACAGATTATAATTTAAGAGTGGTTGAAATTGCTGCCGCATCAGAATTATTTGCAAAGAAGTTCAATTTGATTTTACCTAAGGATTCAAATTTATCTACAGGCACTTTGAGAGGTTTCATGGACAAATATTTTGAAGAATACTTAAAAGAGGGCGCATGGGATGGTAGTGATATTGATGTCGGTATCAGTCGCTTAGAAGAAATGTTGAAGTTGACTGAGAGTGTTTTCAATGATGATGAAAAAGTTGGGTTTGAAACAACTGAAATTGCACAACAGTTGGGCTTATCAAAGGAAGACTTTACGAAGATCTTTTTGACTAAAGCTCCTGTCAGATACCAGAAATTAAAAATTTACCAAAGAAGTAAGCATGTTTTTTCTGATTCCTTAAGAGTTTTGCAAGTCCTAAAATTGTTGGGAAGTTACAGCTCAAGCGAAGACTCCGAGATGTTCTTAAAAAACTTTGGTCTGTTGTTAAGCGATTCCCATCATTCAAGTGATGTTTATAATGACTCTTCGAAGCCAGAATTAGATCAGCTTTGTAAAATATCTACGTCTAATGGTGCCTACGGTGCCAGGGTTACTGGTGCTGGATTCGGAGGCTCTGTAGTTCATTTAACAACGGCTGATAAATTATCAAACGTTGTAACAGCATTGACCGAGCAATATTATAAAAAACAGTTCCCTGATATCACTCAACAAGAATTGGATGAAGCCATAGTCGTATCGAAACCAGCTACAGGTAGTTGCATTGTTGAATTAGATAGTTTCTCATTATAAGTGTAAAACAAAATATATGTACCCTGCCGAAGTTCTCCGTGATCGCAAATTATAGGAAATGCGCACAATCAACTGATTTTGAATATCACACCATTTGTAGCGATATCGGATGGTTTTTCAAAATAAGGCCAAAATAAGAATACTTAATTTGATCTTTTATACGATGTGATATATAAGTGGAATTCTTTCCTTTGAACATTTCAAGAGTTTATTAGGGTAAATTATTATTAATTTTAATAGATTATGACTTTGAGTATTCTTCCACAATTTAATTTCAAACCTCCCATATGTGCAGTGAATGCCCCAACATATACGAGAGCGACAAATCCAGAAATGCTGCTAGAAGGATTTTATCTCAGTGAAAGATTTCAATTAAAACATAAGATAGGTGCTGGCACTTATGGATTAATATACCTCGTTGAAGATTTGATGACCGGGCAACAATTTGCAGCAAAAATGATTTTGACTGAAACACCATCTAAGGTATCAGGATCATCCGTCGAAGAAAACAAAAGGAAAATTAAGAAAGTGCTATTTGATTATTTCAATTCTAAACAGAGAGTAAATTCGAATGAATTAAATTTGGACTATATACGGAATGAGGGCCATATGTGTTCGTTTTTAAGAGAAATTGCGTTGCATTTAAGAGTACATCAACATCCCAGCATCATCACAATACATAAAGTGATAAGTTTAGATAACATAGCAGTAGCAATAATAATGGATTACTATGAACAGGGTGACTTGTTTGATAACATAGTGGAAAAACGAATATTTACGTATCCTCCTTACTATCAAGATAAGCAAACGCTAATGAAAAATGTCATGTTGCAGTTGATAGACGCCGTCAAATTCTGCAAAAGTCAAGGTATATACCATTGTGACTTAAAACCAGAAAACATCATGATTAGATACCAAAGCGATTTTAGAAGAACGAGCAAGAGAATCATTAACTATAATGAAATTCAAGTCGTCTTAATAGATTTTGGTTTAGCCATGGATTCAGGTATAATATGTTGCAACACTCGCCGCGGCTCCAGCTTTTACATGGCTCCGGAAAGAGTCACCAATTATGCTACTAGTAGCTTTATTAAGGCAAGAGTGGACTTGGATCAATACAAATCAATAATATGTGATAATCCGTCCAGTGCCAAATATTTCCCTACCTTAGCCGGCGACATATGGTCATTGGGTGTGTTATTTTTAAACATCACTTGCGCCAAAAACCCTTGGCCTTGCGCTTCAATAGAGAACAATAATGGTAGTAACGTTTTCCAGTCTTATTTAGATGACGAAAAAGTGCTCAGCTCTATTTTTACCATATCAACCAACTTTAATTCCATACTTGCCCGAATATTCAAGCTAAACCCGAATGATAGAATATCACTCGAAGCCCTAGCTTACGAAATAGCACGCTGCAATCTTTTTAATAATGTGTCAGCCAACCAGCTACCTACTCCAGTAGATAGCGAGGGAGACGATGACGATATAATTTAGCCGGCAATAAAATGCATCATACACGTACATATCGTAGTTACCGTATTGTAGAATCTCGATTTCGGCTCCAGGTTTATGCATGCGTTTTGTTAAGGAGCCGTATTGCGGCACTTTTTCCGTTAACCTTCTTTTAAAAGTCGCGTCATAATGCTCAGTTATTCCAGCTCATTCTATCCTGCGGTGTGTTGCCCCTCTAACAGTTTTCTGACTTCCTATATGCCAACATTTTTTAACGCTCCTATATGTAACCCCCTATTTTTTAACAGTACAAGGCATTGTATCGTCTAAGCGTCGTATTCGTACCGTGTGCTACAAAATATACACTCTATTACTCCGGTGAGGCTTAATTCTAGATTAAATCCGAAAATGTCACCCGGAAAAAAAATTAACAGCTTGCATATTATTTCCACTAAAGCCTTATTCGAGCCAAACTTAATTTTTCCCGACAAGTCATCTGCTCTGTATCTGAATTCGATTAGGCTCTTGACTATTAAAAGTTTCTACTACAATTTGGAGCTTAACTTCTGCTTAAATTATGAATAGAATAAATCTGACTTTAACTGATCTCACGACTTCAAATTATGCGATAAATGTGTCTAAGTTAAATCGTATCTCATTAAATTAATCAAACATCTGATTTGCGTGGCATTATTTTCCCCAGCGCGCACTCCAGACGCAGACATTTTATTTATGTATGGAGTCAGCTAAAACAAGAAAATATTTTTCGCAAAAGTAAATTAAACAATGGAAGTTGCGGAAAATTGCCCCACATTGATTACAAAGTTTGGGTTTGCATAAAGTAGTAAAAAAAAAACATGATACGCCATTATATTATAGAACAAGGCCAGGAATTCTAATATGGAGGAATTTTAGGAAATAATATAAAAGGTGGACGAATCTCCCTTATAAGCTGTGGTTTTTTTTCTCTATTATAAGTAAAAATAAGTCATCTCTTATAAAATGGCTTACGAGGATAAATTAGTAGCTCCTGCTTTAAAGTTTAGAAACTTTTTGGACAAGACTCCAAATATCCATAATGTTATCGTTATTGCTGGTATTTCATGTATTTCCGGGTTAATGTTTGGTATTGATATTTCATCAATGTCAGCATTTCTTGGGGAAAAAACATACATAAATTATTTTGGTGAACCTAGTACAACTATGCAATCATTCATTACGGCTGCTATGTCTTTAGGTTCTTTTTTTGGGTCTTTGGCTTCATCCTTTGTATCTGAGCCATTCGGTAGAAGAGCTTCGTTATTGGCATGTGGTTTCTTCTGGTGTGTTGGTGCGGCTATCCAATCCTCTTCTCAAAATCAAGCCCAGTTAATTATTGGTCGTTTTATTTCAGGTTTTGGTGTTGGTTTTGGTTCGTCAGTTGCACCAGTTTATGGATCTGAATTAGCTCCTAGAAAGATTAGAGGTTTTATTGGGGGTCTTTTCCAATTTTCCGTCACTTTAGGTATCTTAATTATGTTCTACATCTGTTACGGTTTAAATTTTATAAACGGTACCGCCTCATTTAGGATTGCTTGGGGTTTGCAAATCGTACCAGGCTTGCTATTAATCTTTGGTTGTTTCTTTATTCCAGAGTCTCCTAGATGGTTAGCTAAGCAAGGTTACTGGGACGATGCTGAAATAGTTGTTGCAAACACTCAAGCTAAGGGTAACAGAGAAGATCCAGACGTTCTTATCGAAATGTCCGAAATTAAGGAACAAATCATGTTAGATGAACATATCAAGGCTTTCACATATGCAGATTTATTCACTAAGAAATATATTTTGAGAACTGTTACCGCATGTTTTGCTCAGATCTGGCAACAATTAACTGGTATGAATACTTTAATGTATTATATCGTTTATGTTTTTCTGATGGCTGGTTACGAAGGTAATGCTAATTTGATTGCTAGTTCCATTCAATATTGTCTTAATACAGGTATGACTATTCCAGCATTATACTTTATGGATAAGCTTGGTAGAAGACCTGTTTTATTAACTGGTGCTGCTTTAATGATGGCCTGGCAATTTGCAATCGGAGGGTTATTGGCTACTTATAGTATTGATGATCCTATCAATGAAACCGTCAGAATCAGAATTCCATCAGAGCACGGTGGAGCCGCCAAAGGTGTCATTGCTTGTTGTTACTTGTTCGTTGTTTCCTTTGCTTGTAGTTGGGGTGTTTGTTGTTGGGTTTACTGTGCTGAAGTATGGGGTGATAGTGCTTCAAGACAAAGAGGTGCCGCTCTTACTACAGCTTCCAATTGGATTTTCAATTTCGCCATTGCCATGTTCACTCCAAACGCGTTCAAGAGTATTACTTGGAAGACTTACATGGTTTTCGCTACATTCTGTGGTTGTATGTTTATCCATGTCTTTTTCTTCTTCCCAGAAACTAAAGGTAAAAGATTGGAAGAGATTGGTCAAATGTGGGCTGAAGGAATTCCAGCATGGAAGTCTGCTTCTTGGCAACCAGCTATTCCAATATTATCTGACAATGAATTACATAATAAGATGAAGGTTGACCATAATGAAGATAATTTATTAAATTCTTCTTCTCATTCTGAAGTAACCCAAGAAAAGGGTGATACTTCTCATTTGACTTAATCATTTAAAATATTTTGGGTACTGGACTAATCAGTACCGTGAAAGGGTTTTTATGAAGAGGATTAAATATTTCAGTTCTATCTATATACTTTTTAAATTCAATATATTAATATCACATATAATAATATTCATGGGATGTAGCTGATAATGGATCAATTCAGAAAATTTACAACGCATATGATTAAAAGTAAAAGTAAACAGCTTCATAGAAAAGCCAAAATATTTATTGTGCCTTAATGGCGATTCTAATAAGTACGAATATAAATAGAAGATCTGAAGAAAGGATAAGTAAAACAAAAGATGAGCACATGGCAAATTAAGAAATCTCCATCGTGTTTGACTTCGAGAAGGACGAATATTTTATAAACGGATCATTCTTCTCTAAATCGTATTCAGGATTTTTGATCATGGATTTACGGAAGTATATTCTTTTGATCCATTTCCATAATTCGGCTCCAAGTAAAAACAAAAGTGTGAAACCAACTGCAAGCCCCCATTCATAACCAATAGGATTATGCAAAAAGACAATATCGTTGATTACGGGAATGTATACTACTGGAAACACTGATACAAAGCCACCGATAATAGACCAGAATAAAAACTGGTTTTCCCATAAATCAATAGCTAATTGCTTTGCTCGAGGCACATCCAGCTCTGGGCGCATATTGAAAAATGAGTATCTCATATGAATGCATTCCCAAGCTAATAATAATGCACACCATGTGAAGGCAGCAAATGCTCCAGATCTACCTCTGAAAACCAAATTACACGAGTTACCTCCAGAGTCATTACAATTAGAACCAAGATTACCGTCACCAACAGCAAAGACAATAAGAACAAAACATATTAGACAGCAGCATGCCATCCAAAAACCGTAAGCAATCATATCAATAATCACTTCCCAAGTGAAGATTGTTGCATTTGGTGGTTGTTCTAAAATATCATCATTTGCTTTTTCTTGCCCTAAACCCATGGCAGGGAAGCATGACGTAACTACAATAATCCATAATACTTCAACTGGAGCTAATGGAAAGACGGAGAATCCATCTTCGTCCATAAAAGCCAACCCAATCATCAAGTATAAAGCTTGAGCAACATTTTCTGCTAACAATTGCAAGACAAACTTTTGGATATTTGATGACATTCTTCTCCCTTCTTCAATAGCATTTAAAATTGATGCAAAATTGTCATCAGTTAAAACAATATCCGAGGCATCCTTAGCAACGTCAGAACCGTTAAGCCCCATAGCAATACCGACATCTGCTTTCTTCAATGATGGTGAATCATTCACCCCATCTCCTGTCATTGCAACAAATTTACCACGACGATGTAAAGCCTCAATCATTCGAACCTTGGTTTGAGGAGCACATCTTGCAATCACCAAAGGTAATACTGGTAAGTTGTCAATCTCATCGTTACTTAAGACATCAAACTCATTTGCTGTCATAACCATAGATTTAACGACCTCTTCAGTATAATGAAACAAGTTACTGGGTAAGATACCGACTTCTTGAGCAATTGCCTTAGCAGTTCCATGATGATCACCAGTCAACATGTGAACATTGATTCCAGCCTTATGACATAATTTCACAGATGGAGCACTTTCTGGTCTTGGGGGGTCATAAATACCAATTAATCCTAAAAATACAAGATTGGACTCAACGATATCACGTCTGGAAATGTCTTCTTTCCCAATGTTAATGGATCTTTGGGCAAATGCTAAAACCCTAAGACCTTCAGACGAAAGAGCATTCATATTTTGCTCGATGATTGATTTATCGTTCTCGGTTAACGGTAAGATGTCTTCCTTACCATCAGTACCGTACCAGTAGGAGCAACAATCTAAGATTCTTTCCACAGCCCCTTTAGTATAAATAAAAGAATTATTCTGATTAGTCTGATATATCACCGACATTCTCTTAATCGAAGAGTCAAAGGGAAATTCAGCTATATGCTTTAATTTATCCTGGACCATGTCCTTTCTTGAAAGTCCCAATCTAGTGGTAAAAACATTAATAGCAATTTCAGTAGCGTCACCATTGGCTTCCCATTCAGTACTACAATTATCACCTTTGACCTGCTCCACTGTAGCAATATTAGCCAATGTAGCAGTTTCTAACCATTTATCAAATAGCTTGGGCGTTGGCTCCGGCAACTTCGATGAAAAATCAGTTTCTTCGTCGGTTTCTTTAATGAATTTAGGCGAACAATTGGTAAATGATAGATCACCGACATTTGGATTGAAAGGTTCGTTCGAATTAGTAACTGCATAAGTACCTGTGGATGGAATCCAAACTTTTCTTGCGATCATTTTACCCATGGTCAATGTACCTGTTTTATCCGAACAAATGTCATTAATACCACCTAAAGCTTCCAAAGAGTCTAGTTTCCTAACAATAACATTTTTGGTCACCATAACTTGAGCTCCAATAGCCATTGTGATTGTTAACACAACAATCAACGACGAAGGGATCATAGATAAGGCAACACAAATGGCATATATTGCAACACTCCTGTTGACATTCATTTCTTGGGATGCCATCACAACAATTGCAAACAAGACTGCAACCCAGAATAAAATAATTGCCAACCAAGCCAACCTTCTTTGTAACGGAGTACCAACATTTGTACCCAAAACATTGAAAATGATATTCTTAGTAGATTTTGCAATAGCCACTACATAAGCCTTCAAGCTAGGATTTGACTTATCAACTTTCACAATAAGAGCATCTTCATCTGATCTCAAGGAACTGGCGATCTTCCCGATCTCAGTATTTAATGCAGTAGATACAGCAACACCTCTACCTCTACCTTTTGAAACCACTGATGAACTAAAGCACATATTTAACCTATCCCCGACAGGCACTGGAGTCGAGGTGTCAACATAAACATCTTCAGCACACTTAGCCACCGGCAATGATTCACCAGTAAGCAAAGCTTCATCAGTTTCGAGGTTCATCGAATCTATCAAACGCACATCCGCTGGGATAGTATCTCCCACCTTGATGCAAACAATGTCCCCAGGAACAACCTCCTCAGCATTAATATCACTTTCTATTCCATTTCTAAGGACTCTGGCAGTTGGAGTACTTAATGATCTTAAAGACCCCATAGTCTTCTCAGCCTTATATTCTTGGATAAAACCGACAAATATGTTGATGAACACAACAAAACCTATAACACCTCCAGAAATCCAATCCCTGACACCAAGTGCTATTACCATCGAGATAATCAATACCAAAATCATGGCATTGAATACCTGGTGGGCAAAAATCTTCGTAAGCGAAATTTTTTCTTCTTTGCCTAAGTTATTTCTGCCATACTTATCCAAATTGGCCTTGGCCAGGGCATTATCTAATCCTTTTGCAACATCGACATGAAACTTACTTGCAACCTGTTCAACTGTTAATCTATAAGCTAAGATACCTTCACTCGAATTAGCATCATTTATATGAATTTTCGATTTTTCACTGCTTTCATCTTCATTGATTTGACTAAGGTGCGATTCATCTTTATTTTTTTCAATTTGACTCGCTTTCTCTTTTTGCATAAACTGAACCTATGGCCGTAAACTTAACTAATAAGTAAGGCTTTCTTTAATAACGAGAGTATCAAAAAAAAAAATAGCATCAAACCAAGGAACATGTGTCTATTTAAGTATTGCTAATAGATTGGTTATGAGCCTAAGGATGCAAAAAATTTTTACATTTTGCCATAAATGCCAAGGCAAATAAATGAAGCTACGAAAGACCATGTGGCAGATAATATTCAGCATAGTAGTACATGACTTGTTACGAAGAGTTATTATACATAGGTATATCGAATAGTTATAGATTTGAAAAGTTTATTTAAGAGATAATCTTGCTAACTGTAATACGGCATCTTTGGTATTTGCACCACCAATGAAGCCCGCCGCATGGACGAAGATACAACCTGGAACACCAGTCAATTCAGATAATTCGTCATCTCTTACACCTCTCCATTTTTCAGGTAAACCCAATCTAAACTCGAAGGATGTAGAGGTGACAGAAACTGTAGAAATTCTCCACTTGCTCGATGAGTCTTGGAACAAGACGAACTTAATTTCACCTTGCTTATTGGCATCTTTTTCGATGGCATACAAGTGCTCTTTCCAAGGACAGAAGTTATCCAAGATAATGATTTCACCTGATTTGTCGATGTCAAATCTAGAGTTGAATGCTCTTTCAACAATTTGCTTTGCAGGCAACCAGGATTTTCCGTAGCCAGTCAATAAATTCACAAAAACTTGGCCCATCAATTGACTACTAGTATTGAAAGCAGCATCAAAATCAGCATCGGTAGGATCGGTATTCCATGAAGGGTTAAGTCTAGAAACAATTGATGGCAAGGTAATATTTTTGTCATTGAATTTTTTGCTTAATTCAACGTCTTTCGAGTAGTTGTTAATACCGTTATCATTGGCATCTAATGCTTCAATAAATTCCTTGTAGACTTTGTTGTATAATAAATCCACGTTACTGTCATTGATGCTCAATACATGACTGATAATTTCTTTACCAAAGTGCTTATATATTAAACCAGCAGAGGACAATTTGGTTTTGTAGTCAGCAGAGAAAGTTTCATTGAATTCTCTTTGATGGTGATCAAACCATTTGATACCATCGTATTTACCACCAACATCAATAACTACGTCACTTCCTTCCCAATCAGTTGGGTTTCTTGATCTAATTAACTGACTATTTTGGTATTTTGGCAACAATTTAATCATGAATACAGCCAACGATTCATCGGCATGGAAAGAGCCTGAATGAGTACAAATCTTTAGCATGGCAGAGTCTAACTTTATTTTTTTATTCGTGTCTGTATCTGACATGTGTAAGTATAGATTGGAGAGTATTAAAGCTATGATGAATAGACTGCAGCTGTAATATACAATCTGGAGTGAAAAAAATGAGTGCGATGACCTAAGCATATTTCAGCTAATGAACGGTCGATATTACTAAACATCTTCTATCAAATACGCGGAAAATAAACGAGTTGACGTATATAAGCATATTTACCTACTTAGTTAATGAAATATAAACACCATCCTGATGACACATTGTCAATTGAACGTTTTTCCTAGGTGGATAAGGTCTGTCATCTCTAGAGGCCAAGTTGGGGAACATTTGAATCAATCTAACGACAACATAAGAAGCCTCAGTCAATGCAAACTGTTGACCTAAACAGATTCTTGGCCCACCGTTGAATGGTACATAAGCCCATCCTAACTTTTTATTTTCAGCCCATCTTTCAGGTTTGAATTCTCTCGCATCTTTACCATAGTATTCCTCGAGTCTGTGAGTGGTGTAAACAGAGTATGCTACTGTAGTACCCTTTGCTACATAGACTGGATCCATTTTCGTAGGACCACCTCCCCTTGGAAGAGTAGTATCTTTAGTTGAAACTCTGAAGTTGGTAGGCACAGAAGGGTATAATCTAAGCACTTCATTCAAGACAAATTTCAAATACTCACATCTCTTTAACGATTCAAATGTTATTGTTTCAATACGAGGGTTGGAACCGTCTCCAAAATGGGCGTATATTTCATCTTTCAACTTCTCAAACACATCTGGATTTCTTGCTAATTCAAAGAAAGTAAATGACAACAAACCAGCAGTTGTATCTCTACCAGCTAAGAGAATATTTAATAATTGATCTTGTAAGACCTTAGGGTTTCTGGTCTGCTTGACCAACTCATAAAGGAAAATATAACCGTCTTTGGACTTTTTGTCCAATTCATCCTGTGATGTAGATAAAGCTTGCTCAACATAATGCTTACAGAACTTATGAACTCTTACATTAGAATCCCTAAACTCCTTATTGTTAATCAAAAAGTAGAACATCTGACTGTATGCTCTAGAAGCCAAATATGTCTGAGAAAGGTTGAAAGAATCTGCAAAACTTGCCTTCCCATCAAAATCTAAAGGCGCAACATCGTCCACAGTACCATCACGCAACGAGTGGACCGATTCTCCGAATAAAAATTCAGTAGCAGTATCAACAGTCAATCTAAAGAATAACTCTTGAATATCAAACGTATCACCCTTCTTGTTATTAACGTGTTGGGCAAAAGTTTGCAAATGTGGTTCCAAGGATTGGACATGAGCAACCTGTTCACGTGCAAATTGAGGTCTCAACAAGAGTCTGGAGTTCTTCCATCCATCTCCATCTAAAGTGAATATACCATCACCTAATAATGGCTTAAAGTGGGCATGTCTCGTACCCAATGCAAAGTCGTTAAACTGCGTAGCCAAAATTGCTTTCATATTTTCTGGATCTTTTGTGAAAAGAATTGGTACTTTAGCCAACTTAAGCTTAAATGTCAGAACACCCATAGTAGCAAAAACATCCTCTGTGAACTCAAGCATCGTACCCTCCCGTTTGGCTTTTAATAGCTCTACTAACATACCAATCGCGAGGAATCCAGTTTTCACTAATGGAGGTTCTTTACATCCGTGCTTTTGTTTAAATTGATAAGCCTTTATACTGGTGGCTACATACCACACCAAGAACCCTCCCAATGCGATAACATACCATTGAGAAAGGTATGGAAATATTTCGTCAACAAATGATTGTAAATTATCTAAAGACATATTTTATTATTAATAGATTGAATACATCTGGCTGGAATGTAAAAAACGTTGTAATCTGTTCCACATTATATATGAGATGTGCGCCGGAAAGAACATTTTACTTTCTCCGCGCAGAGCCTGACAAACTCCGAAACTTACGTTCCCCTCGAAGTTCGTAATAACCTTTATCGTAGTTCCTATATCGGAATTTCTTTGTTTATATACAGTGGAGTGGCTGTTTATTGATGATTATAAGTAGATGCTTGTGAAAATACTCTACGTGCTGGGAAAGATCACGGAAAATCAACGGCTATATAGATAGGAGTCTTGCACATATATCACGGTTACTATTATTAGTAAATTAAAAACGTAGTAAAGGTTTCTGCATTACGACAAGTTGAACTAATGTGAGATTGTTTTAAATCGTAGATATTCATGTGTTCACCACATCACAAGTGTTCACCACAGGCCCGGATCAGTGGGTATTGCGAATGATTTTGTTGTAGGTTTCTTTTTTTGCTGGATTGTCGAAACTGATCTCGATGTCACTATCAGAGGAATCCATATCGGGGTGAACGGCAGGAGCAGGTTTGAATGGCTGTGAAGAAGGTTTTGTTGGGCCAGAACGATTTTTCGAGAGGATATTTGTAGTCTTGTGATATTGAGAATCAAGTAGTTTAGAAATTCGACTTGGTTCCTTGTGGGCACTATGAACTCTGGGGCCAGGTGCGGAATCACTGTCGCTCTCGCTGGAGTCGATCTTGCGCTTCTTCAATCTTACAGGGCTTTGTAGTATGGTGTCGTCTTTGGAGGGAGGTTCAGAAGCACATGGCTCTTCGTAGCGTTGTTTGTATTTTTCTAGGGTTTTCAAGTTAGTATTCCATTTGTTTTTCTTATTGTTGATATCTTCGGTTGAGCTGGTAAGTTTGCGCATGAATTTCTTCCGGCTACTGATTTCATACAACTCCTTTAGATCGGTGGAAAGCTCCTTCCTTTGCTTTTGAGGACTTTTATGTACTGTCTCACCGATTTGTCTATTTGTTGGATCAAACCCAATCTTGTTGAGAATAGAGCTGTTGAAGGCTGTCTTATTAACCGTCGGTTCTGGCTGTTCAACCTTGTTCTTTATTAATCCTAGTTTCTTGAAATTTGAGTTGTTCAGTAATTTCAGTAATTTTTTCTCGAGTAATTCATTATTCTTATTATCGTTATGCTTTCGCCTTTTCACCTGGATGTTATCAAGTAATTTAGGATTGACAAAATTTTCTCCTAGCTTGCCTCCTTCATAATGATAGTTGGTTGTTTGCTGATTAATCTTTTCATAATTCAAATAACCTCCGCTGATCTTCCCTTTCTCATTAGTTGATAAGTACATGGATTGTTTTTGACCTTGTTTATTCGTGGGTGATTTTAAATTGACACTTCCATTCAACTCCATTCGTTTATTCTGGGTTTGTTTGTACTTGATTTCTTGGTGATAGTTACAAAGATCAGATTTCAGAATATTTATAACAGAGTCACACCGTGTCTGGTCTTTCTTAATCATTGAACAGTGTCCAAAATCTCTCGAAGACCCAATCTCTAGTATTGAGTTGACGTCATCATTTATAGATAAGTTAAAACCGTTAAATGGTGGCTTCCATGGGTTAACATTCGGGTTGAGTACTGCAACAATATCACCAACCCTTAATTTCCAATACTTTTTAAAAGCATCTCCAAATATCATAAGATCTACTGACATATTCAAGTCACCAAGTGTTATTTTCATATACTTTGATCTCTTTTCATTAGATGTTGCCTTCGTTAATTTGGGATCCGATTTGCTTGTTATTACTCCAATCACACACCAATTTGCATAGTCAGGTTCATAGTATCCAGGGGCAGTCACTTTGGCATATAACTTATCTACCTTTAGAATCTTCTTTTCAGCAAATAATTTAGTAAGGTCTTCATGTTTAATGTACCTCTTTCTTAAGTGCAATGCAGAAAACAATTCCTTTTCGTCAACCACTAGATCATGTAATTCTGGAATCTCAAAAAGAAACTCTCTTTTCTCATAGTCAACAGTCTTCTTCAGTATTTGACTGCTCTGATGCAATTTACTGAAAAATTGACTGGATCCTTTGTTCACATTACGCGTTACCGTTTGTTCTCTTTTTAACAGATCTTCATTCAGGGAGTTAATAATTTTACCAGTCAGTCTTGAAGGTGCTTTGACTTGAGGCTTACCGATAGGTGTATTGGCTTTATTCGGTGGTGATGGTGACCTAGGTATTTGCTTTTCGATTAGCCTACTTTGTTCATCTTTCTTTTGCAATTTCTTTTCTAAGATTTTTTGCTTTCTGACTTCGAATTCTTTTTGTAAATCAGCTAGCTCATCAGATGAACTCTCAGTTAATTCATCCCCTGATTCAATCACTTCGTCTCTAGGGTCATTCATTGCAGCATTTTGACTTACATAGTTCTCTTTCTATCAAGCGATATTTCAAGTATAGAATCAAATACTGCACATAAGCTTTGGTCAATACCGAAGTTTTAAATCATTACGTAGGAAGTAACGAACAGTAGTAAGCGCTTCATGTTATAATGACCAGAGATAGAAGCAAGTCGATAGTAAAGAGAATTGCTCTGGATGTTCCCTCTTATAATGATGATAAATTGAATTTAGGGGAAACATCTGGGAATCAGTCTCCAGCTGGGGTGATTAAAGCTGATAAAAAACCTAAGAGGAACCGATCAAAATCCTTAAGTTTGGATAAAGAATATAGAGATAGAGAAGAAGATACTTTTCATCTTTTCCCTTTCAGTAAAAGAGAGCATGAATATCTATGGCTGAAATATATTAACACATATAACTACAATTCAATTCTTAATCCAGATGAAATTAAAAAGATTAATAATATCTCCAACGATTTCATTCTTAATTTTCAAAGTAATTGTCAATTAAATATTGAAAATATGAAAGATTTAATGGATCAAACTGAAACCATATTAAAGTCATTGAATTTATTGGCCAGGCAATACGATAAAGTGTCGAGTGAAACTAGTGAATTTGCGAATCATTCAACTAAGTTATTAAATACGCAATTAAAGTATGAAACAGTGTCAGGAGAGATAAACCAATCTTTAGAAATATTTGAATCATTGGAAAGGATTACCAAGACTCTTACTAGTCCTGGGAACAATTTAATTAAAAGAAAGTCATTTCAAGATATTTTGAATAAATTGGATAGGTCAATTGAATTCATCGAGAAGCATCCTCAATTCAAGGATATTGAACTATACAAAGTGAGATTTAGACAATGTATGACAAGGTCATTAACTTTAATTCGTAATTATTTGATTAACGAATTGAAGACTTTACACGATGGCGTATATTCCAAATTAAACAGATCTAGTTCTGAAAATATTGCTGGTAATGTGACTATCGATGTTTTTTTATATAATGAATTTGACAATTACATCGCCGAATATGAGGGTCAATTTTACAGCTTTCCTAATTTGGTTAGTGAAATAACCAAGCGGATAGAATATCACGATGAATATAAGGGATTATTACATGATGTTTTACAACAGTACTTCAAAACAAGGTCCAAGCTACTTGAAAAGTCTATATGGGATCATTTAAATGCCTCAGCAAAGAATAGTGCTAAGGACTTAGTACAGTTTAGTCAGGATAATATTTCGTTTTTTAAGAAAGTTATAGACCGTGAGTTTTTAACATTTACAAAATATTTCTACAGTTATCAATCCCTGCCTCTTCCGTCTTACATGAATTCTGAATTATACGATTGGTTTAGAGATATTCTTGATCCACTTTATGATACGTTAAGAAATAAAATTATAAGAGAAACTAACATAACTACTTTATGCCAATTAACCACCTTACTACAAAAATATTATGAGTTTGAAGATGATGAGTCAGTAGATATAATACAAGAGAATCAGATTAATTATGGTTCATTGTTTGAAACCATATTACAAGATGTACAATCTAGATTGATATTCAGGATCCAAATATATATTGATGACAAGCTTATTAAATATAAGCCTAAACCAGAAGATTTGAAGATTGGAAATAGAAAGAGGAGTTCTGCTTTAAATAATGAATCTGCCGATGAGGAAAATTCCCTAGATGCTGATTATAAAGAAAATTTATTTAAAGACTTATATTTACCTCTAGGAAAGGCATTGACTATATTGTCAAATATCTATGAATTAATTAATTCCGTAGTGTTTGATGATCTAGCTCACTATATTGTTCACAGTTGTATTTACATATTAAAAAATGGTGCTTATAAAATATCCTTGGCTCATTTAGGAAAATTAGACACCAAACTATACTATTTGAAAAATTTAATCATTTTGCAAAACCAATTAAATAATTTTGACATACAATATGTTAGGACAGAAACTACTTTGGATTTTACAAGTGGGATTAATGAAATATTTCAAACTTTTAGAAACGGCGAGTTCATCTATAATTATAATCAAAATGGCGGTTTTATTGAATTAGTCAAAAAATCTGCACCTAAGGTAATCAATAATATGATAGACGCCAAGTATGAAATAGAATTGGAATTGAACAATGCAGTTCATGAATTCATCACCGAATGTGCAAACATTATTAGTGAACCAATATTGTCTAAGACTTCAAAGGAGGAACCTTTGCAAAAATCCCTCTTGTTTAGAGACAACTTAATGACAGAGCTACCAAAATTTCACAAAGAAATCAAATTTTTCATTAATGAGGTCAACATTATAAAATACTTAATAGACAACCTAAGCAACCTAGTCATAACAACATATGAAAATTTCTATCACTTATTAGAACAAGAACTTCAAAAAGACGAAAATTTAAAACACGACATGCAAGAAATCATGGAAGTCGATACATTAATAGGTTTCATTACTGATATTGTATCAGGATTATATGAAAACGATGAAATTTCTCCACCACATATTGAATTTAATGAAGATATATTAAACGATACCGAAATCGATGTCTCTGAATAGTTATATATATTACACGTATTATTGTTCGTCGAATGGATTGTAGATATTCTTTGAAAGTAACCTATTTAATTCATTTTTCACTGCTTGAACTTTGTTCTGGTCTATAACTAAATGTGTTTCATCAAGTTCCTCTATAACAATATCGTGTCTCTCTGAGTCTATTTTAAGAATTAATGCTTTTATGGAAGGATCACATTGAACCATCACACCTTTAATAGCTGACGGCATCTCATACGTTAGATACTTTAAAACCTTACGATCTGCGTAGAGAAGGATTTATTTTGAGTAGTTTTGATAGCTTTTTGTGTAATTTTGATAATATCATGTTCCATATGTATATACACTTCAATTGCATATTTAATTATAACCAATTGGAATTATTGATTCTGTATAATGTCTCATAAAGATACAGTTCCCAATGACAATGCTATAGAAAAGGATTTTATCCAAAATGAACATATGAATGGTAATAAAGAAATTGTTATCCAAGATAATGATAAAAACGTAATGGAGGATAAACATTTAATAAATACAGATTCTCTCGAGGAAATACGTCAGAATGACAAAGATATAGCTCTGGTTATTGAAACACTGCATGTAATGCACGATGATGAAATAACTGATGAGAATGGAGTATCCAAAGGCGATGAAATCAAGAAACTTGATGGCGAAGATAAAGAAGAAACAGAAGGAGAAGTAATAGAGGAGGAGGATGAGGAGGAGGAGGAAAATACAGACGAAGACGACGATGATGAAGAAGACGGCGAACCTCCTAAACTTATATATCAGAGATTGAATGGACTTCCGCCAAACTTCTTCAATAGAGATCCAATATCAGCATGTAATTTCCACGAGTCTGTTTTCATTTTCGCTACTCATTCAGGTATAATTCACATAACGAAACCAGATTTTACAACAATAAGAACATTCAAAGCACACAGAGCCTCAATTTTGTCAATATATACTGATGGTCATTATTTTGCGACTGGATCGATGGATGGCACGGTAGTAATAGGCTCACTCACAGACGAGAAGGATATAATAGCATACGATTTTAAAAGACCCATACATGCGGTTGTATTGGAGACAAACTACGCCAAATCAAGGAGTTTTGTAAGTGGTGGTATGAGTGGAAAGGTATTATATTCTTCTAAAAATTGGCTAGGGCAGCGAGCTGATCTCGTTTTGGACGAAAATAATGGTCCTATTGTCTGTATTCAGCAAATGGATGACTTATTATTATGGATGAATGATATAGGTATCGTAATATACCAAATATCAAGAAAACAAAAAATTTTGACGATAGATAAACCTAAAGATTCTCCTAGGAGTGATATTTACTGGCCAAGAGTTCATTTCCCTGAGACAGATAGAATTTTAATTGCATGGGCCAACCGCATATGGTCTCTAAGAATATCAGTAGGTAAATCAAACGACGTGAATGAACCTTCTTCTTCATCTAAAAGTAGAATATTACCTTCCACAGCTAGCATATCTTTTAGAATGGTTCAAGAAAAAAAAGTTAAAATTGAGCATATTTTTAAAGTCGATGATTTTGTATCGGGAATTGCTGGCTTTAAGGATGATTTAATAATGATCTTAACTTACATTCCACCGGAAAGAGACGAAGCTACAAACAAACTTACATTTAATAATCCAGACTTAAAACTAGTCAATTCAATTACAGGACAGGTTGAATTTGAGGAAGAAATTGGACTCAAAAATATTGAAAACCTAGGATTAAATGATTTTTCATTAGGGTCACACATAGACCTGAATAGAACGAGGTATTTTATTATGAGTGCAAAAGATGGTGTAATAGCTCAAGAGCTTCAACTAAATGACAGATTAGATTGGTTCGTTGGAAAGGAGAAGTATTTAGAAGCATGGGAAATAAGTAAACATTTGTCCTTGCTGCAAACAAAAAAATTGAACTTAGGTATATTACATGTTGATAATTTAATTAAACTAGGTGAATGGAAGAAGGCAGCAAGTTTTCTATCTTCGTTACTTTATTTGGATATTAATGAAATGCCCGATGGAGACACAAAGAGTACTATTTTTACATCTCTATCTCAAAATCTGACTAGTGAAGATCATGATTCGCTAGTAAAAGAAATAATTATCCAATGGCAAAATTGGGCGAACATATTTATAAAATCAAATCATATTGATTTATTGACTGATGTAATCCCAAAATCACCAAAATTGAATATAGATGCTAAAATTTATAATCAAATATTACAGTACTGGATACTTCATATTGATTCAGATGATACTTTCTTCAGATTGGTAGATGAGTGGCCTATTGATTTATATGATACTAAAAGTATTGAATCTTTTATCGAGGGAAATTTAGAAAACACCCCTAATCCTAAACTACGCAAATGTTTGGCAAATTTGTACGTTAAATCATTTGACTTCAAAAAGGCAGTCCCACATATGGTTTCCTTGAAAGATCCAAATATTGTTCAATTCTTATCTTCAAACCACATGCTTGATAGTTTTTCAAATGATATTCCTAAGTTTATATCTTTGAGATTTGAAAGTAATGAACTAGAAACATTACCTATTGATAAATTAGAAAATCGCTTGGATGATATAATAGATGTCCTTGTTGAGAATAGACATGAAATACCTTCTGAACAGATTATACAAATGATGAGTAAGTATCATCTTGACTTCATGAGCTATTTCTATTTGGAAAGATTGACTGCGATCGATCCATTTTTGACAAAGCAGTTTTCGGATGAACAAGTTGAATTGTATTCTAGGTATGACAGTGGAAAGTTGTTGCCTTTTTTATCAAAAAGCAGTACGTATGATATTGATAAGGCTATACAGATTTGCGAAGAAAACAACTATACCGAAGAGCTAGTCTATTTATTGGGAAAGATTGGGGAGAATAAGAAGGCTCTAACTTTAATAATGGACGAATTAGATGATCCTGAAAAGGCAATCAAATTTGCAAAGCACCAGAACGACAAGGAAGTTTGGAATATGTTATTGAATTATTCTACGAAAAAGCCAGCTTTTATAAAGGCTCTTATAGAGTGTGCTGATGATCAGTCAAAGTCTTTTTATGATCCTGTATCAATCATAAGAAGTATGCCTGACGACGTTGAGATTGAAGGGCTAAAGAAATCTGTTACAAAAATATCTAATAACAACGATTTAAATATACTATTAAACCAATTGATATTAGGTATATTATACAGTCAATCAGAAGATGTATCTAATTATTTTAGATCTGATAAATTAAAAGGTTTAGAAATTGATGTTAATTCAAAGTCTGTTTATCACTTAGTATCGAAGTTCCAAACGATTTTAATAATGTCTTTGACGGATAAAGATCGGATTAATTTAGTTTCTGAATCAGAATTTTTTAAAGATAATAATCGAGTGGTATTCAATACTAAATCCTATACCGATTTAGATGAAAAGCTAAAACATATCGCTCACCTAAAGAGACATTTAGCTCATCAGAGTTAGTTTTCATTTGTACCAATATGGTTGAAAATTCTTTTGCAAATACCTTCTATAGACATGAATATATAAATATCATGAGCCATATACTTTACAAAGAACAATAGTCTAGATATAGGATAATAATATTTCTCTACTTTTGATATAGATGGTAAGTTCATGGATCTTCGTATAAGACAATCCTCTATTATACGGGAGCGTATTATTGGCACACAAATACGAATTGACTTGCATACAACAAGCCATGTCTGTGAAATGTTGTAAAACAAGCTTAATCTACAACTCGAACATTTCAGCGGGATACAAAGATGGAACGTCACGAATACGAAAGGAATACAATGTTTGTGCTTAAAAATTTGTCAAGTTGTTATCGATTTGAAATTGTGCGTTGTACCATGGGCGGCTATTTCCGGGTTGGCCGCCTAAATTGAGCCAACACGTCAAGAGCTAAGCCCAGAGAACACTACGCTAACTGAGAGCCTTATTCAGGTTTACCTGAAGTATATATATTACAGTGTCAGTTGCAAGTGTATTGATTTAGTTTTGATTCAATAAACTAAGATGTATCTGTCCTAAGAATACTGATTTTCAAGTATTTTTAGACATTTTGACTGCCATCAAACGCTTCGTATTTAATATTTAAATTGAGGCGCATTCTAAATATTCTTTTTTTCTATTATACTCTTGTTATCATCCTTTTCTTCTTTCTATCTTATTTCAGAAAAACACCTAATGATTACTGATCTCATATTCCTGGGGTATTTAAGAGACCCGTTTGTTTATGGATCATTAACTCTAGCCCTTGGGTTTGGAACAATTTATTACTTCCATACGTTTAGCGTATGGAGGAATGTTAGGAAACAAGGTATTAAATGTATTCACTCAAAGGCTAAATTATTCCATACAATTTTAGGGGCATTCTTGATATTTCTCAACATATATGTGTGGTTGTACTTATCTTCAGAGTATTTTGCAACTCTGACTTTTTTAGGGTTAAATGGCTCTCGATCACCTTTAACACTGAGTATCATTGGTTTAAATTATTCTGAGTTCAATGTGCCAGGGTACTCCTTCATAGAAGAGAAAGTACAAGTTGAATCCACAGAGGATTTTGAGTGTAAGGTAGTACAATTCAGTGATCAAATGTTTGCAAGCCCAGCAGTTCCAGTTGAGGGTAATTTAAGGAGAGTAAGAAATCAAGCATTTGAGTTAGCCAAATCCGAATATCCGATTGCAAAAAACTGCTTTTTGGACAGAGACGATGAGTCTGAGGAAGAAATTCTTAAGAAAAAGTGGGCAAGATTCTGTGGTAGTAGTGTTTGGTTATCCAAATATGAAGTTCATTTCTTTGTAAATAGGATAGTATATGCACATGAGAGTGCAAGAAGCAGGCCTACTATCAGTTTAATAGATGTTCAAATCTTTGACCGTGATTGGAAGGAATTAACCAACTTCAATATCACACTAGCAGACGGTACAGTACTTCAATATCCCGGGCTAGTTAAAATTGATATAGATCAAAACCCTAAACATAAGTTAACTGTAATGGGTCCGGAAGACCCTCGTGTTGTTTTAAGAAAGTTTGTTAATGAACAAGGGGAATTAGAAGAAGAGCCAGTAATTATTTTCAATATGCGTCGTACTGAGATCAGCTGGAAAAGAGCTATGCATTTCTATAGACCCTTTCATGGTAATAATACTACCAGACTATCGTTACGAGGGTTAAAACCAAGATTTCGTGAAAAAAATTGGGCTCCATTCTTTGATGATAATGACCCAGACAATATTTATTTCATATACAACTTTAATCCTTTGCGTGTCATCATGTGCGGCCTTTCTGACGGTGTATGTGATAAGGTTAGTGGACCTGATTTCATAGATTCTAAGGCCGACGAGTCAAAGCATGTTGGAGCATTGAGGGGAGGGACAAACCTTGTTCCAATACCACCACACCTTTTACCAAATCATTTATTCTTTAGAAGATATTGGTTTGGTATAGCAAGATCTCATAACAGTGAATGCGGATGCTTGAAAGAAATTTATAGGCCCCATGCCTTTATAATATCCAAAAATTTGGAAACAGATGAATTTACATTGGACTATGTAAGCTCATTGATGGATTTTAATGTTATTGCAGAACCATGGACTGAGAATCAAGCTATTTGCAAAGATGGGAAGAATGTATTAATTCCGAATAGTATTGCCTATTGGGATCATGTTTTAAAGTCGGATTCTACCGTTGAGCATGATTTTATGGGCATCAGTTTTTCTGAAGCCGATAGAACGAACAAAATTGTTCATATAAAAGGATTTTGGCATCATATATTAAAGGCTTTGAATAGTAAGGATACAGGTCAGGGATCTCAATCGATAGCCAGAATCAAAGAATACTATGCTGGCAATAATACTGAACTCGAGAATGAGTTGTTAGGAAGATGTGCCACATCTTTAGCTGAACAATATTGTGAAGATACAGCAATTACCCAAATATGGATTGATTAATTTTAGGGATCTTCCTTAAATACTTTTTCTTGAACTTTTTGCATAAGGTCAAAATTCTAACATTTTGAGTTTTAATAAATTTTCTAGCATTTAATGTACATTTAGAAGTTAATTGAATTTAATTCTGTAAATGATTTTATATTCAAATAAAAGCAATGACAAAGACTTATAAACTAATAGTATAGATATTGGCGAGTTTATAACACATTTGAATTCAAAAGTTCAGGCCCACATCAACCATCCCAATTTTATCGTATTGACATTTTATTTGGTGAGAGTTAACATTTTAAGTCTTACACTCATCAAATATTTCAATTGACCGTTCCACTTCTTTTGTAACATTTTCTTATGGTATGCATTCTAAGACTTTCTTAGATAAAGAGTTAGAAGCCATTTATTTAAGAGTTTCATGCTTAGCCTATGCGAATAGAAAGGAATTAAGACAAAGAATTCAAAGACACAATATTTAAAAATATACAACAAAATAAAACATTAATAATGCATTCAAATGCCAAGTATGAACGTTCTCAAATGATAAAATATGTAATTGGGACATACATTTAATCTCTTCAAGTATTCTAACACTAATTAAAGTAGTAAGACTAAGTAGAAAATGGATTTAATCTAGAAAAAATATTACCAGTTGCTCTAGAAAATATATCAGTAGCCAAGTTGTTAGCCTTCCCGAATTTATCACATTTCGTGAAAGCCATTGCATTTGTCAACGACAAAGAAATTGAAATAATTATTAGCAATAAGTACAAAAATTCGAATTTCAAAAGTGCTAAAAATCCCAAAACAACCCATGCTGCAGGCTGAATATATAATAATGTCCAAAATACCTTAGAATCAATTGGGTTAATATAACGATTTGGATCAGCGGTTTCAAAGACCCATACATTTTCAAATTCCCCATTAGTCGACTTAATAACACTTACTTCATTCCACCATCTTAACCCTACTAATAATCTACCGGCTATGTTTTTCAAATTCCAAAAGTCTCCAGAAACTAAAAGCACTATTATTATGAAATGTAAAATGAATTTATTCTTCTTTGTTATAATTCCAATGAATAAAGTTCCAAATAAATATATGAATATAGGTGACACCCTGAAGAAAATGTAGAATAATAGGGCAATTGGATGTGACGATTCTTTTAACTTTTGAGACCATGTCCATTCACTAGGAGATATATCTCTTCCAGAAGTTGCCGTGTTAGATTGTGCTGGATTATGTTGTGCTTGCTCGGGGACATCTGATTCAATTGCTGTATACGCTGAACTCATGGTTATCGTTTACTCTTTATTGAATCATATAGTCTGATTAAAACATCACGAGAATATATGCGAATAAATTCTTAAAAATGATTTTACAAAATCCCTTCATATAGTAACTATTTGTTGAAACATAACTAAGATAACTACAGTATAATGTCAGCATATCGTAAGTTCCTTGGCGGTATATCCAGAACTCAACTAGAGACTTCTAAAGTATGTAATAATTAAAAGTTGGATGGTTTTCGAGCTAAGGAAAATGACTAACAGCTTTTTAGTTTGGTTTTTACCTTTTAACACCTATCTGTATAATGTACTACGTTGGGTTAGATACTGATAAAAAATTTAATTTACCAGGGTTCTGGCCCGATCCAGCAACCTTGAATCAAATCCCTAAAGAGCCACATGAAATTCAAGCGGAAATCGCAAGAATTAGAAGGGCAAGAGCAGAGAAGAGAAAGAGATTGGAAGCCAAGGCAAAGGAGTTAGGTATTGATGAGGATGAAAATAATTAGGCGTGGTTATGGGGAATTTAGAATATCAAAGATATTAAATGAACGGACGCAATTTACATCTATCGTTTTCCATCTACAGTAAATAGTAAAAGAAAGTAAATCATATATGATTACCGATCTATATTAAAGTATATGTACATAATAAATACAAGTTTTATCGAAGCTGAATAATGGTTTTAAGTTAAGTCATTTGATTGTATTTCATTTAATTTTGTTGAAAGTTCTTCGATGGTAGTTTTGGTGAGTTTTAAATCAACTGTTTGCGACATTTCAAGAAGCCTCCTCAAGAGCTGTGGGAGCTCGTCTTTGTTAGAATTGTTAGAAGTCGTATCAGTCGAAATATGATTATCCCCCGAAGTATCCATTAAGACACTTGAGGCATGGGACAGGCTTGCATTCAAAAAGGGTGAATTGCTATTGTGTCTTTCATTGAATGATTGTGGCATATATGAGATCGAGTTCCTCGCATTAGGCGGAAATAATTGTCTCTTCTTCTCACGATGACCATGGTCACTGGTGTTTGCTTTCTCTGCCTGATATGAATCACTTGACCTGCTAACTGAAGAATTATTAGTATCTGAAACTCCCGAGACATCTCCAGTCGCTACAAATTTTGATATGGGCGAGAGGGTATTTATCGACTCTTTCGTTCTGTTTGATACTGTTCCCTGTGATGCAAGTGAAAATTGTGGCTGCATATTTGTTTGACTCGTTGTTGAATTGTTGTTATTCATTTGAACCTCTGAAATCACATTGCTTGTATCTGCCAATAATGTATTAATATTCATTGAGCTCAAATTAGTGTTGTTATACTCAGGAAATTGCATCTCAGTACCGGAGAACATATTTGTGTTACTAGTTATGATATTGTCATTATTATTATTATTTGTAGAGCTGACAATCGGGGTAGAAAATTGTTTTCCCATTATATTGGTTGTAGTAATGTGCTTGTTACTAATATTTGACTCTTTGAACCAATTTTCACCACTGTCATCAGTGTTAAAAATTACGTTAGACTTTGTTTTTTCCTTGCCCGATTCATCAGAGTCATAAGCTTCCAGTAAACAACTACCTACAATCTCTTCAATTGAAACATAACTGAGAGTTATTTTTCCTCTTTCATTTACTAGACCTAGCAATTCATTTATTTCCCAAGGAATTACGACATTAAGCGTTGCCATTATCTCAGATAATTTATCATAACTTTTGGATGAATCGTAATTAATAGTGGCCAAAGTCAATGGTTGTAAGGACAAAGATGCTTGTTTCGTGGTAACTGGATCAAGGGATGGCCATGGATTTTTAAAATTGATTAAATGTGATTTTCTCCAAGCCATATGTGTTCTTTCTTGTGTTATAGAGTCCCATGCTCTTTTTATCCACTCTATAACTTTTATTAACGGAACATGATAATCAGATTCTGATAATACTTCCATTGCTGCAGATGGATTCACGTTTGGTTTATAATTATTTAAATTAACTCCTGATGATATATTTGTATTATCGTTTACTTCATCTTCATTGGATTTAGAGTTTTTTCTTTGTAATCTAATCATTTCCAAATATTGTTGTAATCTATAAAGAATTTTAAACTCTTCGACAATTCCAAAACTAGTTGGAAGGAAATTGAAAGATGAACCATTGTATGACGAATTATATGGGTTTTTACAGTTTGCATTATTCTTCATGTAGCATAATTTAATATTGCGGAACTTCAAATTAATAATTCTATGCGAAGAAGAATCGTCTAATAGAATAAGAATCTTTCTGTTAGGTGAAGTACTCGTCAACTTATGATCTAAGGTTAGTAAATAATTCTGAAACATTTCAGATGTTATCCATTTGTTAATATTAGAGTTGTAGAAAACATTGAATATTTCTGTTATTTTATTCATGATATTCTGTCTTGAACTTGAATAGACAGATAAATTTTTAAAAGCCGGATGGGAACTTGTACTAACGTTAAACATATCGTATTTTCCTACTACTAATGGACTTAATTTTTCAGATCCATCAATATTTGTACCTATCATTATAGTTAAAGAATTTTCTGTAGAACTACTTGATTGTTTTAAACCTTTGTCTATTGAGGAAACATCAAATATTTGATCCAATGGCAAGGAATAAAATAATTGGAACTCGTCAATAGTAAAAATATCCTGTGGCATGTAGTTCTCATGCTTGATCAAGTCTACCAAATAATTTTTCAACCCCATCTTCTCATCTAGCTTCCACACTTTATTTAATTCATGATTTCCTGGGTTACTACGAATATCTTCTTCGCTACCTGTTAAGTTAATATTCAACTTTCTAATGAAATGATTGCACCATTTTTGATTGAACAAACCATTTCCATCCTTTTCAAATGTGGGTAATCTGTTCCAAATAGCATTTGCAGTCAGTTGAATAATCGGCGTGGTTATAGGAATATTCTCCCATGCAGCTTGTGTAACCCATTCTGTTAATATCCTCCGAAGTATAGGATTTGACTGCTTTCTTCTACGAACTAATTGAAAATCGACTTCCTTTGAGGCGATCAAATCATTCTTAGCACACAATATTCTGGAAATTGTGGTTTGGGAAGGTGGTTTCGAAGAACCATATTGTTGCTTAGCCCATATTGCTAAATCAGCTTGTGTCATTTGAGGATTAGACTCTGCTTTTAGGCAGATATCAATCTTTTGCTTTATAGTATATCCCATGTCTGAATTAAATTTATACCCACCGTATAATCACTGCCATGACTTTATAAACTGTCAAATACACTATAAATTAACCAAGTTCTTAAATATAAAGAAACCTATGAAATACTACTCCAATTAATCTAAGATGATTAATAAGAAATGTTTAAGCCTTACTACTATCTAAACCTGAATCGTCTAATCATGAATATCAACAATTTTTTTTTTTTGTATATTTTCACGTGATTAAATCTAAAGATAATAATATCCAATACTTACGAGACTTGTTCATGGCATATAAAAGGTCTACAGGAATAGGTTTAAACAATTGTACGATTTAGTTTATTATAATCTACATTAAGGGCATTTTGAAGGTTATACCACGAATTAATTAATAGAAAAGCAAAATAAATAACTAAAATCACCATATTATTGATCTAATGACTGTTCAAGAACGTCAAGACTTTATCAAACACATCTTTAAAAATAGTTTCATTTTCAATAAATAATGAATGTCTACCATCCTTAATTTCAGAGAAGGATTTATCGATCTTATCATCTACCAACCTGTAGAACTTCCTCGTACCGTCGATCCAATTAATATTATCATTAGTACCATGAACCAAGAGTAGCGATGTTTCAGGATTAAACTTAGAGACAAATTCAGGTTTTGTCAAAGCTTCCCCACGGGCAAACATGTCAAAGAATTGTCTTACGGTTCCAATTAATTTAGTATCGTGCTTCATGATGTAGTTCTTCCAGCCCTCATTCGAAGTAATATAGTCATAGTTTAATTTAGAATCTATCTTTAAATTAGGCACCAATTTGTTAATTAGAGGTGAAAGAGCTCTAACAACAAAATTTGGTTGGGTTTTTGGATGTAATAACACTAATGGTGCACAGACAACAATACCCTTGATATGTTCTCTGTATTTACCTTTAATGGCGTAATTCAATACAATACCACCACCCATCAGGTGTCCCATTAAAAAGAACTTTTCCGTTGAATCTTTCTTCAAATCAAGATTATGTTTGATCATAAAGTCCAAATCATTGAATGTATGTGCTTCATCTGTCTTACCAACCTGATCGCCTGGAGAAGTTTCACCAGCACCTCTCTGGTCAAAAAAAAAGATATCGTAACCTTTCTGAGACAATTTATCAAAGTATTCGGTATAAATAGTGGCGTGTTCACTAAATCCGTGAACATAGATTATTCTACCTTTATACGGAATTGATTCTGGCGCTTTCCATGTAACTGTTTTAAAGTTAGCTTTATCAAATTCAATGAAACCAATTTTGGGTTCATTGTCTGTCTTGTATGGGATTTCCACAGGCATTATTACTTGTTTCTAGTTGTATCTATACTATAGTTACTAATCATAAACCCGTCAAAAAAAATATTACTAGCACACAATCTGAATGTGACATTTGAGATTTGCGGGTTACATTTGCGAACTTAGGTTCCAAGTTTATAAACAGCCAGATACGTAAATAACACCTTAGAAATCCCTTTGGGCAAGATGCTTATATAAAATCGATAGTGTAGATTCGAATGTCGAACTTGGTTTCATCAGATTGCTATATAAAATAATAATTAAAGGTTCCTATCACGAGAAAAGAGCAATAGCACCAATCATGAGTAAGCCAGTTTGAATATTTGGACTCGAGGGTTATAATCATTATGTGATCAGAGACAGGGATTATGTGATTATGTGATCATGTCTGATATTTTTAGATCTGGATTACTAAGATACTTCTGTGTTCTTAGGAGAAACCAATATAGGATGGCTGTGCTTCAGTGCTAGTGTCGCAGTTCGCAGCCATGTTGTTATCTACTTTTATTAATGTTACGCATGCCACCCACCTGTTTCAATAGAATCACATATGGAAATATTTTAGGATGTACAATTACTATTATATCTTTCATTGATCTCTCGTAGGATTGAAACGTAAATTGTGCCACTTAGAGGCATATTAAACAAGGTCTGGGTCGCACCGCAATAACCACAACGTTTCAGAACAGTCAATTACATGCAAAAACGCAGTTCCATAGTAAAGCATAGTCTTAAGTGGGCTATGGTACTATTCCAAGATTTGCATTTCAAAATTATCTATATTTTCATTATCCGAGCAATAATAGAATTCAAAATGTTGAACGTTTAAGAAAGTAAACGGACTAAACCAAGACCAATTGACGCACGCATTTCTACAGCATACGGCAAACATCTTTCTTGATCCTGAAAGCATGTTTGTAGATACCTCTCTTCAGCCCAATATCTTCGACTACTAGATCTTCAGTATTAATCATACAATTGAATCATATATTTGGTGTGCATATAAGTTTTCGATTTTCGGTAATGTTTCATCTTCATTAACATTTCATACTACTAACGGTTTTGATTAATTCATTTCAATTCAACCAATTAAGAAATCATGGCATCTCACGATCAAAACAATGTCAATTATTCCGGTCTGTCTGATTCAAAAAGGCCGATAGCTAAACAGAATAATACATCCATGTCAAATTTACAGGCCGCTGCAGACCCTACGAATGATCCATTCTATGGACTTTCCTTTAAAGTTGGTGTTGCAGAAAATAAGAATGTAACTTATAGAGCCAAAATGGAAGATGTTCATACTTATGTTGCTAATTTTGCTGAGAAATTGGATTGGGGTTATTTTGCTATATTTGATGGACATGCTGGTAAACAGACGGCAAGATGGTGTGGGAACAATTTGCATACCTTGCTAGAACATGAAATTGTATTTAATGAAGATGGTAATTCTAATAATCTATCAAATCAAGGGAATGAGGTGGATAATTCTGCGCCGTTATCCAGTAAATGTTTCATGCAAGATTATTTGAATACCACGTTTACTAAGGCAGACGAACTTATAGAAAAAGAAAAGAATGGCTCATCAGGATGTACTGCTGCCGTAGCCGTTCTCAGATGGGAAACTGATGATTCGAAAGAACCAGCAGAATTGGCTCACCAACCTGAAAATGACGCTGCATTTGACTTTATACCATCACCAAACCATAGGAGAATGCTATACACTTCCAATGTTGGTGATCTGCGTATCGTTTTATATCGAAAGGGAGAGTCTTATCGCTTGACATATGACCACAAGGCAACTGATTCAAATGAAGTAAATAGAATAAGAGATTCCGGCGGTTTAATAATGAAGAATAGAGTAAACGGTGTCTTGGCCGTTACAAGGTCATTAGGTGATTCGTACATGAAAGATTTAGTAATTGGAAACCCATTCACTACTGCAACTGAAATAACGGATGAAGATGAGTTTATGATTTTGGCATGTGATGGGGTATGGGATGTTATATCTGATATAAAAGCCTGTCAATTTGTAGCAGAAACATTTAAAAGAGACGGGAGTGATCCACAACTGGCGGCAAAGAAACTATGTCAATTAGCCATGGATAATGCAACTACAGACAATGTCACTGTGATGATTGTTAAGTTTGATAGAAATGTATTTGCTTCTCAACAAAATTCTGCTTAAATCACATTTGCTTAAATACATTTGTATAACGAAATTAATGGCTATGATATCATGATTATTTTTATATCTACTTTTTTTTTTAATTATTTATTTCATTCATTAAATTTACATAATTATTCATCAAGGGTTTAAAGAAGTCTCGCATGGTTCGTCGTCGTCATCTTCGAGGTTTTCTTCACATTGAATAACTTTGTCAACCTTGACTCTTGGTCTATACAACTTTAAGGCCAAACTACTCATGACCACACTTATTGAAGACGCTGCCATTGCAGCACTAGCCCAAACAGGGTTTAATCTAGAGTTTTTGTACGGATATATCACACCAGCTGCAATGGGTATTCCAATCATATTATACACCAAACTCCAAGCAAAATTAAATTTCACTCTTCTGAACACAACTCTCGATAAGTCGATTAAAGTAACTAAGGTGATTAAGGGATGAGACTTATTTAACAAAATAAAATCGCTTGAAGTTACTGCTAAATCAGCCCCTGATGATAATGCTATCCCAACATTTGCAGTTGCTAGTGCTGGAGAATCGTTTATACCATCGCCAACCATTGCAACAATATTATTTCTAGTTTTCTGGAGATCTTTAATCCGTGCCTGTTTTTCATCAGGTAAAACCTCGCTGATAATGTTTTCTGGAGAAATATCAAGTTCCTTACCTATTGCTTCAGCAGTTAATTTATTATCCCCTGTAATCATATAGCATTTAATCTGTTTCTCCTTTAAATATTTGATAACAACATTTGCTTCAGACCTGATCTGATCACGACAAGCCATAATGAAGGTCAAATGAAACCTCTCATCTTTAAAGAGCAGCGTACATTTTATTGCAAGTAGGATAACAGATTTGCATTCCAGCTTCCATTTGTTCAAAAGCTTCTGTTCATCAGCTGTAATCTCCACGTTGTTGTCATGAATCATTGCCTCGTTACCCAAAATTGCTTCAGTTGGCTGATATTTTTGCCAAATACTTCCATCGTCTATAGAATCGAGTATTATAGGCCCTTTAAGACCTTTCCCTGAAACATTCTCCACTTGAGGTATTTTGTTTGGGGATGGTAGGATATTATATTTCTTAAATCCATGATTATCAACAAATGCTTTGACAGATTTAGCTAATGGATGCTTAGAAGCCAACTCCAAATCTCTCGCAAATTGCAAACTGAAGTGCCTAATCACATCTTCATAACTTTGGTCCTTGCATCCTTCAATCAGAAATGCATAGTCTGTAACCTTTAATTCGCCGTAAGTCAAAGTGCCTGTCTTATCAAAACAAATTGTATTTATATTGGCCCCATCTTGGAAAGCGACACCTCCACCTTTAGCCAAAATTCCATATTTTGCGGCCAAGCCAGAACCAACAAAAAGTGCTGTGGGAGCAGCTAAACCAATACCACAAGGACAAGCAATGACAAAAACAGCAATGGCGAACTCTAAAGACCAAACAGTCCAGCCACCAATATCGATGTCCAAATAGCTATCTGGTAATACACCTGAATGTCCTAGAGATAACCAAATAATCCAAGTAATAAGTGCTAGCAATGTAATAATAGGAACAAAATAACCTGTTAATAAATCAGCAGTTCTTTCTATAGGAGCTTTACGAAGCTGACCATCACGAACAGTATTCACTATTTGGTCGATCAATGAATCGCCTTCCAAGCTAACAATTTTTGCTATGGTTGAATTATTTCCTACATTGACAGTTCCTGAAAACACCTGATGCCCAGGAAAGTGTTTCACGGGAGTAGATTCACCGGTCAAGGCAGATTCATCAAACTCTGATTGTCCCTCTACAATGACGCAGTCAACAGGAGGTGATTCTCCTGTAGCGATACGAATATAGTCATTCACTTCTAGAAGCTTAACGTCCACAACTTCGTCATTTGTATACTGTACAGGGTCTGATTTAATATCAGCAACTTCAAGCAAAGTAGCTTTTGAAGGCTTTAAGCGTCCGAGATTAGAAATAGCTTCGGCAGTTTTACTTTTCGAAAAGCTCTCTAGCAACCTTCCTATAAGTAAAAAGAATGTTAAGAACACCACTGAATCAAAATAAGTAGTATGAAATCCCATATTAGAATGTGCTTCTTGTTGTGTACTTAGTATAAGTAATGCAATGCTGGCATAGTATGCTATTGAAGTACCGAGACACATTAATAGATTCATAGAACCAAATCTAAATATTCTCTTTTTGAACGAATTTTTGTTGAACCATAATGATTTTATCTCTTTAATAGCCTTTCTGTGAAAAATATCGGCTGCAAAAAAGTATACAGGGGTACTCAATATAAGTAGAACCCATGTGTTACGAGAGGTATTCCCGGCCCATATTGGTTCCTCTACCCATTTACGAAAATCGTTTGATTCTGGTAGCAATGACATTGCAACAACTCCAAATATAAATGTAAGAATGGCAAATACAGTAGCAATTATCAATCTGACCAATATTCTCTTGGTTTCCTGCTTTGATAATTTGCGAATATGCTCATCCATTGTGACTGGTTCCACTAACGCACAATCAAAGACTCCGTCCTTATCGGCATTTATTTTATATCCTAATTCTGAATTGCTAGGTTCTAGGTGATTCAATTCAAAAAGAAACCTTCTTATGTTCAACTTCTTTTCCTGATTAGGTATATAGGTGAATTTGATATATGGATGCTTTAATGTAATGGGATCATCTATTACCACCGCTTCTCCATAACTTGATAAATAATTAGTTATTATTTCTGGGCAATGGCCACAGAACATACCTTCCACGCTCACATTAATAGTCCTAGATTGTTTTTTACCCAGTGTGTAGTTGATTCTAGTACTACTTACTAGTTGGAAGTCAAAACCGCAATCTTCAATTGTCTCCTTCAATTTATCCAAATTGCTATCTTCATTTGATGGTTCTTCCATTACAAACTGACCAGTTTTTGTCACAACATTAATACCACATTCCAATACAAATGGTAATCCATTAACAGCTGACAGGATTGAGGTAGCACAAGCGGCACAAGTGATTCCACTAAGAATTGCTGTTACCTTTAAATTAACCGATCTCTCGACAGGTAGAACTTCTAACAAGCGACACTCAAAACCACTGTCATTGATCGCTTCAATAAGCTTATTGATGATTTGCTTATTAGGAATAATTACGACAGCAGTATGCAGAAGTAAATTGACAGAATAATTTAACTCGTTTTCATTTGCTTTATCCATTTTGTCTCCCAAAAAGTTCCCAATTATTTCCGATACAGATTGCACGCAAGAAGCACAACTCATGCCTGAAATCGAAAACACAGCACGGAACTCGTTATTAGTATCCACAACCGTCTCAAACGACTCTGCAGACAGCAAACTCTCTTTTTTCAAGCCAGACACTTTGGAACTATTAAGATTCTTTTCTTCTGAACATTTGGTACAATACTTCAAGTGGTTCTTAATTTGTCTCTTGTCTTGATATTTTGTCCAAAGATTAAGTAAATCGAAAAACCAGTCATTTGTGTTGCCATCATTGTCATTAACTGCTTGTATTTCGTGAATATTCTCGGAGTTCAACTCTAACTCACCCTTCTTATAAAATTCCCAAGATAAAACATCAAATCCGATTTTCGATAAATGCTTCGTGATTCTCTTAATCGAATTCTGTAGAGGTGATTCTATCGTCTCAACGTTTAATTTATGATACAAGTCAACATTGCCCCCGTTTATATACGTATATGCTGTATTATCATTATTAACTGGAATATCGATTTCCTCTGACCATTTTTCATCTAACCGTATAATTTTGAAATGCTTATTAAATGTAACGTAGATTTTCTCTTCGCAATCTTTGCAATGAACATTGTTCAAGTTCAAATGTAGATGTTCCATAATTTCAATGTCTATAAGCTTATAGTGTTTACGAATAGATATGTAGATAAATTATTAATATGAATCAAAGAAAGACGAATCTTGGAGCTTATATAATTTTGCGTTTTTATCGCTATAGATGAGATGTTATCAAAAAAATCAGTAGCATTAATTGCGCAAAAAAAGTGCTCGTCGTCTAATAATAGTCAATCACCTTTACACTACATGATTATTACTCCAACAACAGGGAATATTAGGGCTTTTTTGCACATTCAATCCATGTTAACTGCATACATATTACTATAATTATTTGTAGCGAACTTAAGTGTCATGGCTTTAATTCAATGATGTTATGGCTAGAGAAATTGCAATTCCCACTATAAGCAGGACAAGCTTTTCAGATAGTGTGTGAAAAAATACACAAGTAACTATGTACATCATGGACCAAATACTAAGCAATGATACCGTTAATGCAAAAAATAGTAAGCGAATAAGGTGAGAGTATTCTGTTTGTATGCTGTATTCTGGTTCTTCTGGTGTGATCGAAGGATCATCTTCCCAATCAAATTTAGAAAAATATGTTCTTAGAGCTGCATAACCTTCATACAGCTGGGAAAAGTGGCGTACATTCAAGTTTTCGAGAAATCTTTCCCATAATAATAAGGACATTGTCAGTAATATGTAAATATGTCCAGAAACATCGAAACCATCTATCCATTTGGCTCCTGGGATTCTTGTACACTGGAATTGGCCTGCGACTCCAGAATCTTGTGATTTCGTATTGCAATATCCCCCTGTTAATGTGTTAACTCTTTCATAGATCAGCGGTCCGAAAAACCATCCAAGTAGAATCACCGTACATGAGGTGTATAAGCTGTAACTTCTTAAAATCTTCAATGCTCTTGAACGAGAAATCATTAACTCACAATCACTGTACGTTAAGGCTTCGCTGAAGTATGCTACGGTGAATAAAAGGTATCCACATCTTACTATAAGATTTTGGTTTATAAATGCTATGAATGAATTATCTGATACTTTATCTTTAAATTGGTGAAGAAAAAGATACCATGGAATTGACGTAACATAAACTATAGCATATGAGACGACAATTACATGCCAAATACATAGCTTCATGCTTTCAGTTAGTAGTAATGGGACTATTGGTTTAGATCTAGTTTTTGATATTCATTGAAGCACGTGAAATGATAACGATTTTTCAATCAGTACGAGCAAAAATTATGATTAATCAAACACCATTAGTAATTATCAGTGCAATAAGTTCATTTTGATATACAATTGAGTGCTGGGTATAGGAAAACATGGTAGTTAATATTAAACCTATTTCTAGGATATTTTATGGAGCTCTGCGAGCCAATAGAATAGATGGTATTCTTAAAAGTAATTTTTCAACTGCTTTGGTGAGCCTTGCACCTACACCTACTTCAAAGAAACTCCAAGGATCGAATCCCCAATTATCATTTCCTTGTCTTGACAAACTAGAGAAAAAAACAGAGCTTCTTAGTTCTAATAAATCATGCAGTGATAGCAATCTAAATTCGTTGAAAGGTGGTCCGGAACCATCCTACTCAAAGGTGCTTACCGGATTTGAAGTTTACAAATCAGATGAACCTATATTTTTCGACAATGGTGGATATTTACCGGAATACGAAATAGCGTATGAAACATGGGGAAAGTTAAACGAAGATAAAAGTAACGCTATTTTAATCCATACTGGGTTGTCGGCATCTTCGCACGCTAAGTCACAGCCTGATAACACTAAACCTGGGTGGTGGGAGAATTTTATTGGCCCTGGGAAATATTTGGATACTGATAAGTACTTTATCATCTGTACTAATGTTTTAGGTGGCTGTTACGGATCAACTGGACCATCGTCGAAAGACCCTGCAAATAATGATTACTATGGTACCCGTTTTCCAATTGTAACAGTGAATGATATGGTGAGAGCCCAACGAGGATTAATATATAATGAGCTTAAAATTAAAAAGCTTTATGCCTCAGTCGGGGCCTCAATGGGTGGTATGCAATCATTGGCATATGGTTGGGAATTTCCTGATGAAGTAAATAAAATTATATCAATCAGTGGTTGTGCTAGATCTCATCCTTATTCGATAGCATTACGTCATACCCAAAGACAAGTATTGATGAGTGATCCAAACTGGAATAGGGGTTTCTACTACGAAAAAGTTCCACCTCATGTGGGTATGAAATTAGCTAGAGAAATTGCTACTGTCACATATCGTTCCGGCCCTGAATGGGAATATAGATTTGGAAGAAATAGAGCAGATGATTCCAAGCCAGCAGCTTTATGTCCTGATTTTTTGGTGGAAACATACCTTGATCATGCGGGAGAAAAGTTTTGTTTGGAATATGATGCAAATTCCTTATTGTATGTCCTGAAAGCAATGGACTTGTTTGATTTGAGTCATTCTAACAGACAAAGGGCTCACAAACAAAGAGAAATGGCAGAACAAAAGTATAATGCAGCTAAGTCTGATTCTGAAGTAACTGACACCTCCATCCCCAAAGTACCATATAAGGAAAAAAAAGAAGCCGCCACCACTACACCTGAAGAGTCTTTAGAAGATTTACGTAAGGGTATTAGCAAAATTGGTCACAAAGATATATTGGTTATTGGTGTAGAGTCTGATATACTATTCCCAGTTTGGCAACAACGTGAAATTGCTAATGTATTAAAAGATGTGAATAAGGGTGGAAAAATCGAATACTTCGAACTAGGTACAGATATTAGTAATTACGGACATGATACTTTCCTTTTGAGTTTGGATCATATAGGTGAACCAGTCAAAAAATTCTTGATGCATTAATCTTTTATTTTACAATATACCTATATACATAAAATATGCATAGTATAAAAAAGGTTTAAAGAATATGTAGAGTCTTTAATAAATAGTGTATTCCTATACAATTGTACCATGGTTAGGATCCAATTCATAACCAAATCTTCGACTAATGGAATAAACATATTCTCTTAAGTTTGCAACAACAACCTTTGCTAAACCATTCTTCTTCTTTTTATCCTTTGAGTCTGGGGCATCCATATGATGCGGTAATAAATTATCGTGAGCACTCAAGCTTACGAACAACGCAAATGGAACAAGCCAAACACATAATCCAAAGAACGAGCAAACCTCCATAAATGAAGGAATATGTGGTGGTTCATAATCTGGCTTCAAACGGATTTCCAATGGTGGGATGTATGGATTATGGAAATGGTCAAACCATAAGAAGTGATTCAAAATGACTAGTATACATGATGCTAGGAAAATTGGTGAAGTCAATTGAACATATGGAAACTTTTGCAAATTTTGCAAATAAACATAATAGGAGAAAATCGAAAAGACTGTCAATTTAAAGGGGAACTTGTCAAAGATTAACAACAAAACGAAAACCACACTTATAACATAAATCAATTTCGTTAAGAATCGCTTGGTAGGTTCAGAATGTTCCTCAACTAACTCAGAAATATAGTATAATCCCGATGCAATGGCTAATACAAGGAAAACAAACCCCACAACTAAACCAATATAAGAAAGTAGTTCAAGAAACATAGTATAATGAATTGATATAATAGCCTAAATACCTATTTCTATCTACTTACTTCATTACTTGTCAAGATCTACTCGCACGTGAGGACACGCGTAGTTCAAAGTATATATATATTCTAAATAATTAAACAATAGAGAGATTATAGTCAATGAAGAGATAAAACGTGGCAATACAAAAGCAAGGTCAGTATCAATCATAAATATCGATTGGCGGAATTCTATCAGTGTTATAGAACCAATTTCCACCTTCTAATTCCCTCATTAACCAATCTGCTGGGAAAACGACCAAATGGCCTTGGATTTCTCTTAATATTCTTTCAGCAGTATCTCTTTCGAATATTCTTTCACCCAACATAGCCTTTCTTCTAGCACTGAAAGTCTTCCTTCTTCTTCTCTTTTTAGTTGGAGCCAGAGACTCATCAACCTCATTCTCTTTATAGGTTCCACCATTGACATTTAGTTGAGGAACTGAACCATTTTGTGCTGCGTATTTTTGATTATTTTCAGATTCGGGACTTCTAGAAGATGGTTCTTCATCATACTCCATATGCTCTTCCGCGTCTTCGAATGTGTCACTCTCATCTTCATTGAGTTCGGGAATAATATTCTTCTTAGCATTACGTCTAAACCTCGAGCGTGGTTCGTTACGCACGTTCGTGCTTGGCAATGATGTACTACTGTTTGAAGACAGTGGGACCTCACCTAAAAGGCCAACGTCTTCCAATTTCTTCACATTAATCGTAGCTTGACTATTTCTCTTATTCATATCAGGTTTGCGGTATTCTGTATTGTTATCAGTTTCAATATCCAGTAAACTCAAATCATCCTGTCCACCATTGTAGTATTTTTTCTGCTTTCTTGACTTAGCTTCATGTTGTTGAGAAAGCAAAAATGCTCGTTGCAACTTTGAGTGATTCTTATATTCCTTCCAAGATGAAACCGCATTATCAGGTTGAGTATGGAATATCATTCTGAAAAGTTCAGTATTCCTTCTAGCATGTTCATACCACAAGTCCTCGTAAAATTCCTCATCTAGTGGATCTTCAAACCCGTAAGGATCAACAAACGTACTGAAATTCTCAATCCCTTCTGAATTTACAGTCTGTACAGTTTGACGAACACCTTCTTCATCTAATGAAACAATAGGTATATCATCTGAATATTCAGCTGGTGTCAGTACCGGATCAAATGACTTCTTCTCACTTGTGGAATTTGGGGACTTATAGTTACTAGGATCAAGGGATGAAACAATCTTTTGATTTGTGTTATCCATACCATCGACTGGTTCAGGTAATTTGTTATCTTGCATGGAACTTTGTGATAAAGGTTCCAGGTTAAAAGGTTCCATACCCGCTGCAACACGCTTTTTGGATTCTTCTTCTGACTGTTCTTTGGTTCTTGCAGCAACACGTTGCAAATAAGAAACCTTCTTTAATAATTGCCATCTTTCTCTATTTCTTTCAGAGATAATGTTTTCTGATTCTTCATCCATTTCATCAATCATCTCACAATCATCAGATTCCAAAAAGTCTTTAACTAGAGCACCATCTGGTAAAAATATTCCCACTGGGTTTTCTTCCATTGCTTTACTTGCAAGCTCCTTCAAAAACCTTGCACTATTTAATCTAGCTCTTTTAGCCAACTTAGACTTGTATTTATCGGGGCCTTCACCAAAGACGTCCTTTTTATGATTTTCATTGTGCTGTACTCTAGCATCATAAGAGTGCTTCTTACTGTCTCTGATACCTTTATTGGCTTCGTGTGTTCCAGTTCTATTACTAAAAGATATTGGTAACGATAATGGGGATGGAATATTTTGACCCTTCTCCTCTTCATCAACATCATCAAGTGGAACTTGATCAATTGCTTCATCTACTTGGTTCAACCTTTGGTAGTTTTTCCATCTATATGTACCGTTTGGTTCATCAAGTATATCCCTAGAAGCTATTTCCACCATTGCTGATAGAATGGTATTCTCCTTATTTTTAAATCTGCTAGTTGCTGCTTTTATACCACGGGAGGTACGTGCAAATTCTTCAAATCTATTGAATCTTCTTTCAACAATATCAAGAATATCAACACTAACGCCAAGATGCTCCCTCATTAATCTCATTCTTAATGTGTAAGCAAATTTACCCGCTAAGTATTCTTCACCATTCATTCTGCTTTTGACAGTCTTATTATCCCTAACAATCGCTGCAACCTCTGAATCTCTGGATCCTCTCATGGACCTTTCGTTAATATTAGCACTACCTATTATAGCAGCCCTGTCATCCACAATCATAGTCTTAGCGTGAATATATAACTGTTCCGTGACTAAAGTTCTATCTGGTCCTATAATACCCCATTTTCTTAAAGAAAAGAATTGAATATAGTCATCCGGATCAATTCCATATTTTCTTAATTTGGCAAAGATGGATGTTGGTTGTCTTGAAATTGACATAAATTGGCATTGCATAATAACTCTAACAGAGGAACCATCCGGTTCGTCGACCTGAGATTCGAAACCAGGCATTAACGGAATCACTATCACAGCTCTCCAATTGGTGCCCTCATTATGCGCTCTAATAATTCTATCTACCAAAGCATCACCAATTCTATTCTGAATTTCATTTCCATCAATAACACATGATGTAACAAAAAATTGATTCTCTATGTATACAAAATGCTCCGAAGTTTCAATTAATTTTAAGTATGCATTTTGAATGCTCTGTTCATGCTCTTTTAATCCCAACGACCAATTTCCAGAAGATCTCAACAATTGAACTTCACAAGTTCCGTCCAATCCCATTTCAGCTGCTTCTTCTTCAGAGAAATCTGGAGGTGGAGTAAGTAATGGAGTATATCTACTTGGTCGTTTCTGTCTAATTAGGTAGTTCCACCTTTGTACAAAATGTCTGGATAAATCCCTAGCAACTTTACCAGAAGTCACCATGTGAACATCATGCCATGGCATCCTTGGTACTGCATTTCTATCATACATTGACTCATATGGCTTATCTAATTCCAAAAAGTCTTTAACACGAGGATTAGAGTAATCTTTACCGGGAAAAGTTTGGAATCTGATATATTCTTCTGGTGTAACTGAAAATTCAGAATCCAAAGAATTGAAATCCATTTTTGAATCATCAACCAACACATGATCTGGTGTATCAAATCTACCGTAACATAAATCAATACCCCCTAAAAATGCCACTGTCTGGTCTATTATGCATAATTTTTCATGATGTGCCCAAAAATATGTGTTTTGAAGTAATTGGTTTGGAGATCTGATGACATGAATATTTTCTTCATTTAAAGATAAAAGGGAATGTTTTGTATATAAAGAGTCTGTTGATACTGTGCTTCCAACATTACGGTAGACAATTATGAAAATTTTAACTCCCTGTTGTGCTTTTCTTTGTAATATTCTATCAATTCTCCATTGTTGGTTTCCGTTAGCTGGTCGACGCAAATATAATTCTGGAGACAACCACCAATCGTGAATAAAAATAACATCTTTCGCCATTTCTAATGCAGAGGACACGGCCCAGAAATAATCTCTTCCATCAACAAACCATTGAGCAAAACAATTTGATCTAATTGGAGCAAAAGAGCCAAATCTGTGAGGTTCTGACCAAATAGTTGATGCTTTCATATCTGTCAAAGACTTAATCCAAAGCTTCTTTTCCTTTTGAGATTTTGGAATCAAAACTAACTTTCTCTCTGAATTTTCCAATACAATATTCAAATGCTTAAAGACATTTTTATGTGCATCTTCCGAATGTGAGTCTTCTTTACGTCCTAATACGTTTTGAATCAAAGAAGAATCATCATAATCTGATTCTTCATCATCTTTTGAAAGAAGGTACGATTTATCATCATCTCCGTGGTAATGAATTCTAAACTTTGAATCAACTAAAAATACTTCCAATGGTGATGTGGCGTTGATGTCCGCGACATACATAACATAAGAACCTCTAACTAAGAGCCATTTCTCTGAACGTCTATCAATCATGCCTTTCAAATCATTGGCCTTAAAATGGCCAACTCTCCAACCCTGAGACTTTGCGCTTCCACCAATATGAATTACACCCTGCTTACCGAGGAATCCAGTTTCATAGCTCAACAAGGATGATATTGGTGATATCTCGAAGAATTGAAACAATTTATTGGATTGGGGTTTCAATGCTACCAATTTAATGAGTTCATTCAAATAGTTAGTTACTTGGTTTATGTAATCTTGGTTCTTCGCCATTTTAGTACGCAATTGTTCCGGAGAGTGTATTTCAGTTGACGCAGATGAAACACTACTTAAATGAGCTCTCAAATGACTGAATCTATCGCCAAAGCTTCTTCCCGTAGCAATAGAAGCATTGTCATTATGGGGAGCTTCCAACATTCTTTCATTACCATCAAAACTTGTGGGATTGCTTCTACCAGGATTGACTTGGTGACTTCCTTGTTTTGTATTGCTTTGTTCTGCATTCCCACGGCCCCTGAAAGGAGGCATTGGATACTTCGGTAATTCAGAATTCTTACTTCGGACTACTTCTTTCTTCCAGCTATCGAATTTAAACCGGGAATGTAAGTATAATAAATCCTTAGCATTCCTCTCAACAGCCCATTTTAATCTCTGGGGACCGACTCCATATTCCAAGTCAATTCTAAATTTTCTGTTCTTAGTAGTAATTGTCAGTGAAATATCAGTGATTTTAAACCCAATTAAGGTCAACAATAATGGAGATCTAGCGATACCTTTTTCATCCTCTAATAAACAAGATGCAAGTAAATTGATGGCAGGAGACCCAATTATCAAAGTCCCGACTAAAAGCTGCGCTCTTTCCCCGGTAGCACGGTCAGCTTCCTCTTCGTCTGGTGCAGCAACAGTCGTTCCCCTTCTTGATTCCTTATCTTTATTTTTATTTTTACGGCTGAAAAATTGAAACTTTCGTTTAGATTTAGCCCACTTGTCATCACCTAAATTATTAGGTGTACCTGTATGATGCGATCGACCGCCAAATTTTGCGGGTAAAAAATTCGAAAATGATTGACCTCTTGTTGGCTGAGGTTGTGAAGGTACTGGCTGGTCATTGCTTACTTGAGTGCTGTCAGCTTGGTTGATATCATCTGTTCGGTAAGTGTCATCAATATGTTGAGGGCTAATTTGTCCAGGGCTTTCAACATCATTCGAAAGGGCTTGTGGCTCAAGCTCTTCACTTGGTTGCTGACTAGTATATGGTGTCACGTCTCTTTGTTCCTCATCCTCATTCTCGTATCGTAATTCTTGCTTATCCTCATTCCTATTGAAAAAAGACCACGCATTTCCCACAATATTGGATGAATCATTGTAATTCCCTATTCTACTCTTTTTATCATTCCTTGGTATCAGTTTAGTTTGTTCTCCATTACCCGTTTTAGAGCCGCCTGACACTATTCTATAAATTTCTTCAGGATCTTCATTCTCCCTTAACCCAGTTGGTACATCGTTACCATTAGGAATATTTTCTTTATTAGTAGCATTATTTGTCTCGTTTTCGTTATCCTCATCGAACCCATTATCACTACTTGTAAATCTTGGAAGAGATATTCTTCTAGAGTTGTATTTCATGCCATACTTATTCTCGTCATTGTTGCTTGGTTCATTTGAAACCGAAGTTAAGCTCAGCAACATTGAAGTCAAATCCTCTTTATTTAACTAATTGTCGTATAAAAAGAATTCAAGATAATAAATATTCGGAATGAGTGTTTCGTTCCTCAAGTTATGATCCGTCGTATTAAGTTACAATAGTACAAGAGCCAAGGTATGTACTTTTCATAATCGCTATGTTCGATTGTTTGTTTTTTGTTCTTAGCGTTATATACAGTACATTCCAGAATCCTTATTGTACAAGGCTTTGGCTAGCGATGCATTGAGTTAGAGTAGAGCATTATAATTAAGAATACAGGGCATAAAATTGAGTAATTAGATATAAGAAGTATTCGTGGTGAAACTCGAGATATAGTTATCCACTCAATTTACAGTAATTATATCTTATCCTATGCATGAGGAATTTTTTAATAATGTATTATGCTATCCTTGAATGGAGCGTAAGGTTATCATTATTCCTGTTATATAGATCTAGGCAACTGTAGAATGCAATTGCCAATTGAGGAACCTATTCTTAATATTTTCCATGGTAGTCTACTGCCAAGTGGTAATAGCAGTGATTTGATTCGATAGAAAATAATCAATTCTAAAACATGAGGTTCTTCTCTGTTCCTTCCATGCTGTTCATACCAAACACGAGGCTAATAGCCTTTATTTTGGTTCTATTCAAAAACCACAGTAAACGATTTTGATAATTTATACTTGCTCGGGGGCATCCTTCATTTCTATTGCAACATAGTCATCTTCCTCTGGGGCCATGTCTTCATGTTCAATTCTGCTTACCGATTGTGAGATACCCATGCTATAGCTCTGTCTCTGTGATCTCTTGTTTTTCACGGCCCACGTCAGATACACTGAACTGACTCCAACGCCTACTAAACTCCCTGAAATGTTGTAAACAATATCATTAAAGTCAAATACACGAGTTGGGTTTACAATATTTTGTAAAATTTCCAGTCCAACTCCACCACCCACAGTGCAAACGAGTAGAGTAATATAACGTAATAACTTCAATTCCTTTCGTTTCGTGTTAAAAATGAAGTAAAATTCAACTGTGAGTACCAAGAATGTTATGAAATGGATGAGCTTATCATGACTTAAATGAATCAGTGCAAATCCTAAATAAGCAGCAAATATGAGGGATATGATAAAGACTTAATAGCTGTGTTAATAACTGCCTTCTCTTTATAATACTTTTTTTCTGTTGCTTATAATATAGATTTACTTACTTATTAGAACTGTTATTCTCACAGATACCATACTATTGCCATCTAATATATGTACTTTTATCCTGAGTCTCTACATGTATCCATCGTACATCTTCTTCACCTGTAAATAATTTATTGTATGCAGGTGTTCACTCTAGATATCAGATCCAAAAAATTTACATACCCTATTCCTTTCAAGTCAGTAGTATCAACAAATGAAACTTATAGGAGGAGTTAGACTCACCATTAAGTTATCAAACTCGCTCATTTTCAAAAGAAGTGCTTCAGTGGACTATCTCGTTTCATCTCTTAATAGAACCGAAGAGAATAAAGAGCACAAACTGTCATCACAAACTACGAATGAAATAAAGCCATCAGAAATTCCACCAAAAGACAGCACAAAGCTAGCCATATCACCAAACCAGTTAACTGATCATTTTCGATATAAAGAATACCCTAAGCCTACGAGAAGACAAATTTCTGAGACACAAGCATTATTTAATAATGCTAGTTTTAAGCTTGAATGGACATTAGATAAGTATGAAGAAATACCATATATAAAATATAAAAGGTTAAAAGAAGAAAAAACAGAGAAATTATCTAAGGTTGAACCTTATAGAAAAACTGAGTACCATTTGACACAATTGAATTCTAAGAAGACTTTTGGAATACCGCCAGAACATCTCAAACCGTTACCTGAGGTTCTATTATTAGGACATACGAATGTTGGAAAATCTTCCTTAATAAATAGCTTATTGGTTAATAGGGAAGAAAATAAATCGGCCAAATTAGCTACTGAGCATGCATTTGTTTCAAAGAGGGCAGGATATACAAAGACTCTCAACTGTTTTAATATTGGCAATAAATTGAGAATAATGGATAGTCCAGGTTATGGAGAATTCGGGGAACTGTCCCAGGGAGAAGTCATAACAGATTATATTACCCAAGGGCAATCTTTAAGAAGAGTTTTTATATTAATAGACAGTGTTAAAGGCTTTCAAGAAGAGGACTTGCACATAATAGACTTCATAATAAATGAAGGGGTTTCATTCGATTTGATTTTCACCAAAGTAGACCAAATTATTCAAAAGTTCATGCCAGCAAAGATAATAAGCTCTAAGCATGCCATTAAAGTTAAATCCATTGAAGATAGAGTGAAAAATGCCACTTTGATTAAACATTCCAACAAGAAAATTATTGACTATTTTAGTAGCATGATAGAAGAGTCAAATATGTCTAATCTTGTAACGTTACCAAAGCTCTTCTTTCATAATGCTCAAACGAACAAGTTTGTTTCTGCCAGACAGGGTTATAAAGAGATTAGATTTGAAATATTGCAGAGTTGTGGATTGGTTAAAGAAGATATTAAGAGTAATAGTGCTGTTATTAACGAAGAAGCCATGATGAAACAAAATGCTCTTAGGAGAAAGACGAAGGTTCAAAGACTCGTGTAAATAGGTTCTTTCAAGTAATAGCTAGAAAGCATAAGTTAAAAAATGCATCTTATTAAAGCAATATAATATTTAAACTAATAATTGTGTAATAGTGTAATTGAGATTTAATATAAATAGAAGAAAATAAAAAGAAGCGTTTCAATTTATAATAATCATAGGCGACTTAACATGAATGCCAGATCGATTTAAGGTTACGTTACTTCTGAGAAAAATTTCAGTGATTTATGATGAGTGAGCTTTCAAATCTGATGATTTTATGATAAAACATTCCACCTAAAAGGCTTAAAAACGACCACCTCTACCACCACGGCCACCACGGTCTCCAAATCCACCACGGCTTCCACCACGGCCACCAAATCCACCACGGTCTCCGAATCCACCACGACCACCACCACGGCCACCGAATCCACCACGAC